CCCTTTGATACTGACTTGGCTTCGTCACTGGAGTTATAAATCGGCACCGGGCTGTACAGTGGACTGCGCCAGTGACCGGGATCCTTGTCCTTCACACTATCGGAACAGGGGAGCACCGCGTCCAGAGGATGACGGAATTCGCATATGGATCACCAGAGGCCACGCCGTGGGTAAAGTTCAACTTGGCAGGATCAAACGCAGCGGCAGGGTCAGATCTCTTGACGACTTTGCTGACAGCAATGCCGAGATCAGGATGGTTCAGGGAAGGGCTGCGGTAGTTCAGGTTTCCCGCGTAAGTTGCGGAGGCCGTGGCCGCAGACACGGCTAGCAGAAGCAGCGTTTGATACTGCATTGTTGCCCAAATAGCCGGCGATGGACCCAGGCGAAATCAATCGTAGAGCACCGATTCACTGTCCTCGGCGAGTGGCAATGCGCGCTGGGCCTTTTATAGATACCTCGAGGAGGCTATCGATATCCGCGCTGGTCAACCAGCCAAGGTCCTCTAGCAGCATTTGGCCAGCCAACCTTGATTCCTCTCATGATCGATGTTTATCAATCCGCCACTCCACAGCGTGCTCCCCCTGACCTGGATCCCAGCTGCGGGCCCGACGCCTCAGAGCGAATGGTGTGCGGGGAGCATTCCATGTGGAGGAAACACGCCGGTGCGTTCCTGGCCGTGCGGTAGGTTGATTCTCTCGTCAATTCGGATCCACAGGCTGGGCTTCCAGGGGCCGAGCGGAGAGGGCGATGGGCGGTTCCCATGTGATTGTGACTTTGGAAGTCTGTTGGGCGGATTGCTTTGGTTATTAGTTATTAGTTATTCGAAAAACGGCCAATATTGCCTGACTGGACGAGGAAACGGTCAAGGGAAATGAAGCCAAAGGGCGGCGTCCTGGTCAGGGACCTGATTGTAGTGAGAGAACGTGTTGTTGAAGATACAGCAGACGGTTCACGACGGTCAACCGTGTTTCGGCTCTCCAGCACGGCGTGCGTCCAAGCAACTCAAATAACCGCGAATACGATGTCCAGGGCGCTTTCTATCCACCGTCGAGGTGTTTCCCACATTCCAAACACCCTTGCAAGAGAAGATCTTCTGACCTTCATCCAGGTCAGCCGTCAACAGCTCGTCAACTACACCAACGGCCGACTTCCGGTCAACGAAAAAACATGAGCTGGCGAACTGTGGAATTCGACATGTTGAAGGCGATGAAGAGTGATATCTCATCTCCGCCACGCCTTTGCTTCGTCCAACACCTGTCCTTTGGCATAGTTACCGATGCCCATCTCGGGAATATAACGATCCGACGACTAGGCTCAGCTTGATTGATTGGAAATATATCACGATATCGCCAGTGTTCTCCAAGTTCACTTCCCCGGGTGTAGCAGCTTGGAACGACCAAACTAGAACTAATCATCAAATTTTGATGATATGGATCCTGATCAACAAGCTCTTGCAAAGGCAGAGCAAGACGAGACTATCAGAGCAAAGTGCCACCAAACATAACCCTGCATCTCCTTTTCACAATGAATCAGATTGGCGACACTGCTCGTGACTTATTTAATCAGTGCGACAAGACAATTAGAGAGGGATCATAAACTGGCCTGGACTGGGGCTACCTGGACAGAGTCCTATCCTTTAACCAGGAGATCACCAAGCACGAAGAGAAAATGGGTTAATACCGTGACTAGCATCAACTTCGCGGATATGCGCCGCAGTTGCTCTATTCCGACGATGATGAGGGTTGGGTCTCACCGCAGCTGGACTTTGAAGGGAGATGGAAAAAGCATAGGGATCTATCCCCAGAAGGAGGGCTTATTCGAGGAGAGGGATAAGAAAACATGGTCTATGTGGATCAAGATGAGATGAATAGGGGATCACAGCACGGCAAATATCTTATCACACAAATTTACAGCAAGTCCAACGGGTTCATGGCTGGCATCAACTATTATGACGGTTCGTACACATTAAATGAATCTCATGAATCCCCAAAAACAACAACGGTGACGGCTAGGGCCGTGGATGTTTATAAATAACGCGCTGCCTAGATTGTAATGCCTGGAGGGCAGATATAAATCTTCACCGACAGCGCCATCGAGATTCCATACTCAGCAAGCTAGGCTATTCCCCATGAATCGTCTTCTTCCGCAACATCATAGTCCACGTCATGACCGGTGTCTTTCTTCATGGCCAGGAGCTCAGAGTCATCACCACCCATCACCGTATCTCCATCAGGCTTTTTAGGCGCAGTTGTTGGAGCCGAGGACGTTGTTGGGGCATTGGCCACCCATGTCATTTCGACTTTACCCACGCCGGGGATATCAGAAGATCCAAACATGAGCTGTTCCGCCAGGTATCGATCTTTGAACGCAACGACCTGCGAGTCTGATCGCTCTGGATTCGGTTCGATACTCTCGTATTCTCCGATAGTCTACCGCAAAGTCAGCATGATGCGAAAACGGAACAGAAGTAAAATGCCGTCGGGCAAGGGACTATCACATACCAGGAGATACTGCCTCAAGGCCTCGTCGCGGTCAGTGTTGAATTCCACCCCGGACACGGCAACTCTCTTGGGACGATTGTCCAGTCGCAAGACTCCACCACGTCCACGGAACCCCCCTCGACCCCGAAAACCACCTCGTGTAAAGGATGGGTCGTAGCCCCGGCCTCGAGGAGGGAGCCCGCCACGGCCACGAAAACCTCCCCAGCCTCTACCGCGCCCTCGAGCCGATTCGGTTGGAGCGTTAGGGTCAAGACCGAGACTCTGGGCCTCAGCCTCCAATGCCGCGAGCTGCTCACGCAGCTGTCGGGGTTTGTTCACTATCCTTGCCATTTGCGGGATGGTGCCGTTTTCGTCATCCTTTTGAACCTCCATCTGATCGGGCTTCGGACCGGCGGTATCTTTCATGCCAAGTCGTTCCATGAGTTTGGTCTTCTCTTCTTGTTGACGTTTTAACAATTCTTCTTTTTGCTTCTCAAGCGCTTGCATCGCCTCCTCAGTCTCTTTTCGCTTCTTTATTTTCTCTTCGTATGCTCTCTGCGCCTCGGCTTGCTGCTTTTCGAATTCTTCTTGGTTGAATGGCTTCCCTTCCGCCTTGACATCGCCGTTTGCGTCATCCCGTCCGGGCTTATACCAGTACACCTTGACGAAGCGGTTGTCAAAGATGACCTTGGGACTACCCCAAGCACGTTTTGCTGATGCGTAATCATCGTATTTGACGAGTGCTAGGTGCCTATATGGTTTTAGGGTAATCTCGACGATATTACCAAATTCAGAAAAGAACTCTCGTATCTTTTGCTCGTCAAACTTGTCCTCGGGTATCTGCTCTACCACAATTGTTGTGATAGACTGGTCTTCATTGGGCCCGTTTTGTGAGAATTCGGCACGGCCACGTTTCTGGCCGAACCCTCCTCTATCTCCCCGTCCTCGGCCACGGCCTCTTCCTCTGTCTCCCCCACGCGATGTGCCAGAAGCCCCGTGTCCGTTCGTGCCGTTGGTGGATGACGGGCGGTCTGTCACTATGTTTGATTTGCTCGGGTCGTATTCTTTAATACTATTAGTGATGGACTATTGAGCTCGTAGAATGATATCTATCTTACCATCATCCTTGGAAGGTGCTACAACATGCTCTGAGCCATGCTGATAAGGACATGTACTTCCCAACACGCAGAATCCCTGGGTGTCGTAATTGTTACACCGCTGCGCAACTTTGGCAGGCGGAGCACCAGCTTGATTTTGCGCCAATGGCGGCATTGGCATTCCCGGGAAGCCCATACTTTGTAGCGCTAACATGGCGGCCAAGGGGTCATTCGGATCGAACGGCGGGAATCCCGGTGGGGGAGCGGGTGGCATGCCTCGAAAGCCAGCCTGCGGATTCGGAGGGAACGGAGGACCGGACGGAGCAGGTCGTCGACTATCCCATCCACCACCCATTCTATCAGCTCGACCGCCGCGTCTACCCCGCATGGCTTTGAAGGGCCGATCGTGGCTTTTATAGTGTGGTTCCTGCTCATCTCCACCGTCGTTGAAAGCTCGTTTCCGGCTGCTAAAGTTTGTATTGCCTTGAAAACCCGGCCCGGTCTGGGGGACTTGAAGGGCCTGTGGGAGGCGTTACGAAGGGAGCGGTTGGGGTTGGCGAGATGGATTGAGGGAAGGGGATGGTCTGGCTGGGCATCGATAATGTAGACTCGGGAGGCGGTTCAGCGGGAGTGGTGTCCGGTTTTGGGTTGTATTTGGCGAATATTTCATCGACAAACGGGATTGTATCTATACGCAACCGAAATTAGAATGTCCAGGTTCTCATGCGACCACCATGGTAGCCATGCAACGTTTTTCTTCAAGCAGCGGCCGATCCACTCACTCTCTTTGAGAAAATCCTCCAAGTTCTCAATCGATACCTTGCGAATCTCCTCATCAGGTGCATCGGAACGAATCAGCGCCAGCACGTAATCGGCAAGGACATCCGAGTCCGCATCGGAGCTGCTCCCATCGCGACAGTTAGTAAATGTGTTCCGACAACTTTTCTTCGGGGTCACCATAATCGAGCTGAGTAGCTCCGAGGTAGCAGCAGCAGCAGGCACTTACATATCCTCTAGCCTCTTGACCACCCATTCTTTCACTTCCACTGCTTGTTCCTCTGTAAAATGCATTGTTCGTTGAGTTTTGCTCGATGGCGCGAGTTTCGCGACTTAAGGATCCCTTCTCTCTCAATGCTATGGGGCGAGAACAAGGAAAGTGGGCTTGTCTCAAAAGTGTATGCACATGGATTCACTGAATCTGCGAGCGTGAAACATAAATAATAGCTCTTCAGCAGTTGCTGCTGGTGCTGGGTGCGAGTGAACCTCGAGAAGAGCAAACTGCGCTTGATATCAGACAAGAGACACGCCAAGCCTGAACCAGGAACATCTTCAACCAACACACACTCTCTCTCCAGCAAAGAAGCAGTCTCAACCAGCGAGAATGATAACAACCATTGCGCTATTCGCGATTCAAACCTGATATTGTGCAATGGGATGTCTCGATCGCACGCCAACTGGTAGTTGTTTGCGGAGAGTGCCTTTAAAGACCTGCTGACCACCATGGCCGGGCGCGCATTCCGAGCTCCAATCCGCATTCTTTGGCTCTGTTTCTCGTCCATCCTACTATACTACTGCCTCCGATCGTTCTTCACCTCGAAGGGCCAACATACAGCAGCGCCTGATTCGGCGTCCCGTCAACACCTTGTGGTTGCGAGTTTGCGGTCCGATAACACGACATGGCTAGTAGAGCATTTGCCGGAGTGGCATACTAATATCTACGTCGCTGATGACCCAGAGGCCCGGTTAACTGTACCTTTGAATAAAGGGAGAGAAGCGATGGTGTATTTAACGTGAGAGCACTCGAAGAATCCGCGATATTCTGTCCTTGGCTTGCTATTGTAAATTGCACCGGGCATGGCTCTAGATACCTGTCGATAATTGTCATGCTGATTGGAAAACCTATATAGATACATCATAGACAATTATCGCAATCTTCCAGACTACGTGATCTTTATACACGGATTGCGATACCAGTGGCATAACGATGATCCCATATATGGTATGTGATCAGCGAATAGCTGCGACTATTTTCACTCTACCTGTGGTAGGCACTTTCACTGAACCAGATCAAAAGATGGCGTGCCAGTCCTCCGCAGTCTTCGCCTTCCGTACGTTAAAAGCGTAGGGTATGCGCCTCTCCGGTGCACTTGGGTCCCCGGATGTCCCGCCGAAATGCAGCCTCTAAGCCCAACTGAACGGGGTCTGCCGGTGCGCGTAGCTTCTGAACGCGCTTATGCGTCTGCGTTTAAAGCCCTGTTGCCGAAGGTTCCTGTCCCTAGCGAAGTGGGCGCAACCTGTTCGGCACAGTTTGCAGCCACTCGGGAACGAATAACTCGGCATCGCAAATCGGATTATGAGCGGATGCGGCGATGGCTCATCGAAACGGAACTCGATGACGAGGTTAGTGGTAGGATCATGGAATACTCGTGGCATAGTATGTTCATATGTTGCCTATCTTGCATTCTGTTCTTGTTCCTGGATGCATCGGGGTTCCTTGACCAAGCGACTTGACTAACGAGCATAGTAATAATGGGAATGCCCCCTGTTTATTGCCCGCCGGCAGGGGAATGCTACTGTATCACATTTGGTATCTGCAACTTGAATTGCAATATCGCAAAATGTGATAAAAGATATGTCCTTCCGACATACGCCGAAATTCCGGATGGTTGGCCTAAAAGGGGTGGAGGAGAGAACGGATGGCCAGTTCCCGGCTGGAACGAGTGAAAGCATTCCGCATGGCGCTGGAATAGTATCCGACAGCTTTGCGCATACGCCTGGGAGTACGCGGATCGGCTGGTTTGCGCGCTCTGCAAACCAACAGAGGGGCGATGCGTTTGGAATCTGGCGATTTTTCCCTGTTCATGGTATTGGTGGAATAGCGCCTGATTCTATTTGAAGAACGCAACGATGGCGTATCATTTATCACCGTCGTGGCTAGTGACAGGACCGGGAGGCGAGGCAGAGCGCCGTGCCCACGACGTTTTCAAACGAAGATTCACTCATTTGGAGTGACGCCTGGTTTCAGAAATATTTCAAGAGGCACTCGTAGTTTTGGCGCAAAACATATCGCCCTATAAGCTCCGCGCCGAGGGACGAGTGAAGGTGATAAAAGAACGAGGTTTCCAACTGACAGGACATTCATGACAACTTTCCATCGTTGATATCAGAATCCTCAAGTGCTTTTCCATCCCAAGTCAATACAACCTTTTGCTTTACTTCTTCCCCCGAGTCCATAATATGCTTGACTTGTACCCCCAACCCTTGCAATGCCACCTCACTCGCCTTCGCATTCCACAAGGCTTGCCTAATCACACCATCTTCCGCGTCCGCTAGGATCCACATCAGCGGAAACTTGCTTTTCGCCAACGCATCTCTCACTCCCTTGGTCGCCTCCCGCGGACTAACCAAGATCCCCAAGATGCCCGCTCCCCTCCACCCCACAGGCGCACCCGCAAACGTCCCTTCCAGCTCCCGGATTAGATTGGGACCGAGCTTATTGCGGAATGCTTTGCATTGTACGATGACGCGGAGTGGGTGTGCGTGGGACGGTAGATGCCATGTACCGACGAGGTCGATTCCGGAGTCGGCGCGGCCACCGATGCGAGTGAGGTTGAGGGAGTGGGATCGGAGGGCGTGTAGGACGGTGTATTCGTAGTGGGTGCCTACGTAGGTTGTACTGCTGGGGGAGAGAGAGGTTCGCGTCGCGTACGCGAGGAACGATGGGAGGTCATTGTGCTGGGAGGTTGGTGCAGGCGGAGGAGTCGGGAGAGAAGAGGGCTTGTTAGATGAAATCCAGCGTAAGATTGGGGTGCACGGTGCCCGTCGAATATAATGAGACAATCGAGAGTAAATAGGCTGGAGTTGTCGTGATGGCCTCATGGGTGTGAGTTGGACTGTCGCTGAACTGTACTGGAAATATTGTGGTGGGTGAAAGGCCTTTACCTGGGTTGCGATTTGTACCCTGGATGCTCAGCAGGGGCCCTGGAGGTAGCCTAATGATTTAGGGCTGGAGTCCTTAAAGATAGTGCCTTTTGTTAGGGCACGCAGGCAAGAGTGAATTCTTTCAACAACCTCTTGAGCAACCTTTTCATCTTCCCTTGTTTAAGATGAGAACGACACTCAACCACCAACCCTCCTCACAGACTCCAGCTATATCCTTTGTGAGAGATCGCTTCTGAGAGTAGAGCCCACCCATATTCCAAGACCTCCTACCAATTTCACCTCACTCTCAATTCCCAAAGCCCGCAATGGCAGACATCCTCACCCAGCTCCAAACCTGCCTGGACCAGGTCCGTCCCTCCCCTCTAATAACCCACAACCAATGCACCCAACACTCATACTCTCTCCCCTCCAGCTCGCAACCCAATTCTACGCCACAATCGCCTACCTCGACACCTACCACGACCACTCCCCCGCCATCCCACCCCCCAACGTCCCCAACGCCGTCCCGCAACTCAACAAGATCCCCAAGAATCCTCTTCCCGCCGTCGCTGCCGCCGGCACGACAGCCAACACCCCCGGCGCGCCGCTGCCCCCCGACGCCGCTCCGCAGCAACAGCAACAGCAACACCCAGACGGTCCGCCGCCCGACTCGCCGGGGACGTTCCTCATGCGCCAGCGCGAGCTGGCCCGCGATCTGATCATCAAGGAGCAGCAGATTGAATATTTGGTTAGTGTGCTACCGGGGATCAAATCGAGTGAGGCGGAGCAGCTGGAGCGCATCAAGCAGCTGGCGGGCGAGTTGAGAGCGGTGGAGGAGGAGCGGAGCTCGAAACGAAGGGAGTTGCGGAAGTTGGGGGAGAAGGTGGACGGATTACTGGGGGCGGTGAGTAGGGGAATGGGAGATTAGGATTTCAAGTTAGGATGATATCTTGTTGGCATGAGGAGGTCGATGTCTTGAATATGGTATCGTGAGATTGGTACTATCTAATAATCTAGACCTGCTTTTCCTCATCTTGGATTTTGCCGGTCACAAATCGCAGGAGGGCAGAAAGCCAACCCTAATTCTCCTAGAACTCCTTTGCAAAACATCTGAGAAATTATCATTATCGTAGATCAAGCCGGTGAACCACCACTACAAAAAAGGAAAAAGTGCATATTGGGTATCATTCGACAATCAAGTCGTAAATTTGCCGCCAGTTCCTGCAAGCGTGCCATCCCGCATCCGAGCATAACGCCGTTATTCCCAACCGTGTATGCCCCGTTTCGCGCAGACCTCCAAACGCCGATAGACGTCCGCGTAAGCGGGCATATAAATTATGTGACGAAGCGTGTTTTATCGGAATAAGCTCCGATATTCTTTCATTCTCTCTTCCATCGGCTCTCTCTTATCCGACTTGCCGCGATTCAAACTCATATTAGCAAGCTGCTGCTTCTTCTTCGCTAATTCCGCAATTTTTTCTTCGATGCTCTCCTTCATAATGAACTGAACTGTAGTGACTTCGCGCGTTTGGCCAAGACGATGCACACGGTCAATCGCCTGCGCCACCGCCGCGGGATTGTACTGAGGCTCCATAACATAGACCCTCGAAGCTGACGTGAGGTTGAGACCAACACCGCCTGCGCCTAACGTTGCAAGAAGGACCGTAATATTGTCGTCGTCGCGGAACGCATCCAGCGCTGCATTTCGTTGTTTGAGCGACATAGTACCATCGAGCCGAGTAAAGCCTGTGATTCCACTGTCCTGGAGTGCGATTTCGATAAGGTCAAGGTGTGATGTCCATGCTGAGAAGACAACACTCTTGATGGGCGGCTGATCCGGGCTGCGTTTACTTTCTTCTGCGGTACTGAGAAGAAGGGAGAGTAACGCCTTGGTTTTCGTGTGAGGCCCTTCGTATTGTCCCATCACTTTGACTTGTTTGCGACTCTGTCTCGAAGCTAGCTGCGTAGTCTGATATTTTTCATATCCCGCAGCTGATATGATAGTATACGCCGGTGCGATTAAACTTTGGCAAAAGAAGCATTTAAGCTGCACTGGCTTCCCGGCATTGTCATCGAATACAGGTCGAAAGCGAGCAAAGCAATCCCCACAGAGAAGATCATAGCAAGGCAACATGCTGGCTACCGTGGCGGGCTTGTCTCCCGGTGTTTCGTCGCCCGATTGTAGCAAAATGGTATTACCACATTTCACGCAAATATCCGCCGACGATTCTTTCATCAACGAAAGCATTTCATACGCCTTCTTCTCAGCAGCATCTGTTGCATTGTTTTCGAATTCTTCTAAATCAATAGCGTCGTTTGCCGTCAATCCTTTGAACCTTTCACGATCCTCTTGGTCGAGGAGCTCTTTGCCGTGTGCACTGATCTGCCGCAAAATCATCATGGCCTTCAAGACAAGATGATACATATTACCGCTCATCTTTTCCCTGGACTGACCAGCAATCACGTTCATCATAACATTCGATTCCTTTCGGAAGAACTCATGTAATGCCTTTTCATTTTCAGAAAAGGTAAGTAGCACGGTTTGATCATTGCGAGGAGGTAGATCAATCCGGTCTTTTACTCGACGAAGGGTAAAAGAGTCTATAAATACCCTCAACGTCGTTATCGCATTTGGGTTTTCGCATTTGAACGGAGCAATGATGTGGGCGGCAAAACGGCCTTTTTCATTGAACGGAAATAGTCTCAAAAATCTGGCAACGGATCCCAAGTCTTCGAGGCGGTTTTGAATCGGAGTTCCAGTGACAGACCACCGACGCTGCGCATTTAGGCTAAATATCGCCTGGCTCTGAGCTCCAGATTGTTCTCGTATTGCATGAGCCTCATCCAATACTATTCGAAAGAAATTTAACTGAGCAAGGGGGCTTGCTTTTCTTTTAGAGCTTTTTAAAGAGAGGTCACTTAGAACTGTGCTGTATGTGGTGATGACTAGATCATACTCCGCCAACTGCGCTGGATCTTCAGTTCTTGACGGCCCATGGAATACGTAGTACGAAAGAGAGCCTTCATGTAAATGCTCTTTGATTTGGGTCGTCCAGTTACCCACAGCGCTCAGCGGTGAGACTAAAAGAGTGGTTTTGGCGTTGCGAATTGGAGGCTGACCCATCAGCGACCCGTGTGGAGGTTGTTCTCTGGCCCAGTCCAGAGACTGCGGTAATGAGGAGCATACCAAAGAAAGGATGCTTAAGGTTTTGCCCAAACCCATCATATCGGCCAAAAGCCCACCGAGGGCCTGCGGAGGCTCTTCCACGGAAGTCACACCGCTAATGATTTCGCGATACAGCTTCCTTCCATTCGATTGGTAGTGTATCCTCCAGAGTGAGTTGTTATCCTCCTCTTTTGGCCCAAGCTGGCGCGGCTTCTCTTTCTCGGTCATATACCAAAGTGCCTGTTTCTGATGCGGTAGGAGAGGGGTCTTTATCAAAGCAGATGGTTGCATCTCAGGAAGATTTTCAGCACTCCTTAACTGGTCGAACATTCGTGTGACCGCGCTATTAATTTCCTCAGCGGTGCGAGTCTCTGATTGAATTGAAAAGCGATTGGTAGGAACTTTTGCAGCCAGAGCGGAGCGTCTCTCGGCATGGGGATTAAAAACTGAGATTCCAGCCTCCACAGCGTTTGGTACTCCTAGCCAAAGGTTCTTTTGGCCAAGGAATTTCCCTGTGCTTTCCGCGAGCCGTCGTGGCCCATATAGGTTGATAGAAATACGGAAATTTCCCGAACAGGGTTGCCCCGGCCACTCATCGGATTGTCTTTTTCGAACATCAAGACGAGCTTGAGCGCGAAATTTAGCCACGCCATTGTCAAGTAGTGGCGCCAACGCTGCTGAAGTCTTGGGGTCTAGCAGGCCGAAAGTTTTGTCCGCTGGATCCTTGACCTCGATTCTGGTGTCTTGAGAACGATGCCTGACCAGTTCACATCTAATAGAGGGCCAGTCATGCATCATGTCCTTGAATACAGTTCTTGGGGGGGTGGGTACTTGATGTGCAAGAACTGTAGCGCCTTCAAGCTTACCAAAGCAGACCTGCTCCGCACCTAAGTCACGGTTCGCGACAAATATAACTTCATCATCCTCATTGTCTTTCGGGAGCAGTTAGATTACTTCTAAGTGGGGGCGGACGACGGAAAACCTTACCCGAAGTGAGGTCAATTGCAGCGGCAGCAGGTGGTGCGGTCGGTCCAGACTGAGCGGAATCTTCCTTCATATATGCTCCGAGAGACGTTCCGCTTACCCCTGAGAATTTGTCTTTTATATTTGGAGTGCTTCTACTTCCCCGGTCTACATCGACCCGTATTTTTTTCAGAGGCTGGTTCTCGCGTCGTTCGACGCCATACATGTTTTCAATCATTCGAGATTGACTTCCATCATGAAGCTGATCGTGTCCACGTTTCGATTCGAGCCGGTCGTTGCTTTGCGATCGAATTTCGCTATGCCCCAGTCTCGGGGGGAGTTCGTCCCGTTTGACGTCATCTTTCGGAGGAGTGAGAGGAGAAGGCTCTGCAAAGTATGCATATTAGCCAGTGGATCCCAACATAGAAGTCACCAAATGAAGGGGTTAATACTTGTTGCAGCTTGCTTTTTAAAGCTCTTAGGATCGAGTAGCAGGGCAGCAGAAGGCCCGTTCATTCCGGCGAATTCCTGGTATCGGGCCAAAGGCGGTGACGACGGGAGCCTGCATAAAGCTCCCTATGGCAGTTACGACGTCAAAAGGATGAAGGAGTAAAAGGAAATGAGAAGCTTTGTAGAATCCCGGACCTCAGATCTGAGGCAGTTCAAAGAGAAGAAAAGACGGCCGGCAATCCGATGTCGATGGAACGCGGTTCGAAGTCACATGCGGCCTGGCCCGCGCCAAGATAAGGTTTGCTATCGCCACGTGATAAACGCGTGGCTGAGTCAGCAATATAAACACTTGAGCGCTTCTTGGCCAAACAGAATAGAGGGTTGGGTTAAGAGGCTTTGATATGATAGTTTTATCCAATTTATTGGGGAGTAAGACAAAAAGAAATAAAAGAGGGATATCATCCACGCATCCTTCTAGAGCTTCCATGCATCATGCCATTCAAAACAAACTGAAAAGCCCGGCTAGGACCGCTTCAAAAGACAAAACAAGGCACCCGAATGAGTGAAGGGGAAAAAAAAGTTGAGTATTAATCCAAGTATTGAAGAAAAGGATATGATTAGTACACGGGTGCGAAGGATAAGAAAGAAGTCATCCCAGTCAGCGCTCAGCACCACGTAAACACAGGGTTTTTACTCTTCACAGCTTCAAGCCGCTCAACAATAACCTTCCTTTCGTGGCCATCCATTTCTTCTGCTGCAGCATAGCCAAGGTCTCCTTCAAGATCATCGCCACCGAAGACCGGGGTGCTATCCCGACGTGATAAGGAACCTCGTTTCCTATGGGAAGGCCGTTTACCGTATTTTTTACCATGACGTTCCGTCGGTCGAGGTGGAAGCGTTGCCCAGCTGCTTGCAAGCTCCCTGCCACCGTCGCCAAGGCTGTCGAGGTTTCCGTAATCAATCTGGTTAAACGATATAGGGCTAGTGGTCCGGTTCCTTGATCTTCCGGATTCGAAAGAGGTAGTATCGCGTGATAATTCAAATCGATTTGGATTCGGTAACTCATGTGTTGGAGAGCCAAAGCTTAGTAAATCACGATGTGGGCCGGGCTCCGATGCCATCGCAGCACTGATGTCCATCTCTTCTTGAGATTCCTGACGATCGCGGGCGCGTAGTCTCTGGGCATCAGTAGAAGGCACACGGAGAGGAATGGCTACTGGAATATCCACAAGGTCGTCCCAAACGCAAACCCTTGTCCGGCGAGTCAGTTCTAAGGGCCCATGGTCCACTTGTTTAAGAGTCTCGACGACATTCCAGGCTTGGCCCTTCATGACTGCAATTTGTCTTGCAAACATGCTCTCCTTGAAATCACAGTCCTGGCTAAAGACACGCCGAAGCGCTGTCTGAGTGCCGCTCCACCAAGCCGTCGATGTGAGTAGGGGTAAGAAGTGGTCCCGCGTCTTCTGCGAAAATGGTTGACCAATAAGCGAAACTGGAAGAAACAGCCAGCCAAACGGAAAGCTGCGCCACTGCTACGAGTCAGTAACAAACAGACGTCAGGTTGAGTGTAGGGAGACAAACCGCATCAGGGTGCTTCCATGGCCACGAAAGGCTGTTGTCGATCGCTCCAATTGATATTGAAGCATTGAGGAACTCCGGGGCGTTGGAAGGCGTTCCGGTTCGGCTTGTAGCCACCATGGCTTCATGTCTCTTGTAAGGATACATCGGAGAGCCTATTCGTTCCGAATTGGCGGATACCGGGCGTGGAGGAGGCATATGATCCTCATCGTCGAGATGATTCACACCGTTGATCTTGGGTGGTTCCGACACTATGGACACTTCTTCCGTGCGCCAGTCTACCTTTATCATCCAATTGTCGAGCCCTCGGTCAGTGTTTCGCATAATATAATCTAGAATAACCAACTTTTCAAGCTCCTCTCTAAATGCCTGCTTCAAATTTTCTGTCCAGTGAAATTTCCGCGGTGTATCCTCCTGGGGTGAAGGACTGAGCATACGGGAGTCTTGGTATTCGTCCTCGTCGTCCGAATGAATACCGGACGGACGACAAGCCTCATTCCAGGGCCTCTTCTTCCGCCGCGGCGCATCTTCAGCCCGAAAGCCGGTATTAGTCTGGTCGGGCCAAGGGTGTTCGCGCAGAAATATGTTTGCGTCTTTGTACCCCTTGAGGAAAACCTGAAAGCTGCCTTGCTTGGCTGGGAGTGGTTTCTTGCCCCTCCATGCACGTCTTCGATCCCAGAAGTCATAATAGAAAGATTTTGAAGAAAGCCATACGATGTCAGTATATGGAACGAGGTGGGTTTTTAATCGGGTATCGAGCACATAAGCGGCAGCCTCAGACACATACGACAGGTTTGGAATAAGGCAGGCCCGGCCGAAAAAGCAAGGGAATAAGTTTCGGTGTATCCACTTTGTCCATTTTGGATTCCGCGAGGCATACGGCTCTTCGTCTTTTGGTTTGAATACTCCCATTACCTTTCCTTCACTGTTTCTGGCAAAGTAACTTCCAGAGCTACCTTGTGAAATCATTTTAGGATGCACTCCAAGCTCAATCGCCACCCGTACACTCTCCACAATGTCGTTGAATTCCGCTTCAGTCATGCGCCCGGTTTCTGGGGGTTCTGCTTCGAGGGACGCTGCGGTGACCGGGCGGACGCCTTCAGGAGGTTGAAAGACCGTATGGTGGATTTCAAGCCGTTCTTCTTCATTTGTTTTGCCTTTGACTCGGTGGATTTTGAATTTCGAGGCAATCTCTTCGGCCCATTTCTCTAGCCTCATATTGATTGCCTTTATGTCCACGCCAGATGAATCGGTTCTGCCTCGACGACTCATTCCGTAACGTGGCTTTCTGCTACGGTAACTCGGGGAGGATTGTCTCGACGCATGCATTTGCGCTGGCGGGCGAATAGGGGCATACCGAGGGACGGAGGAGGACAAGGTAGGGGGTGCGGCGTAAGGATCGTCATCGGACAGGTACTCGAATTCTCTATCATCATCTGCTTGCGCAAGACGGGCATAGCCCGACGTGGCTGGTCGGTGTTTTGCAGAGGGCATTCTGAGAGTATATAAAAACGCAATGGAACAGGTGGATGGATGCGAGGCGGCGACTATGCAATAAAGAGAACGGCGCCGGGCTTCAACACATGCCTAGCCAAGCCAATTATCGTGACAGAAGGAAATTGTAATTTGCTATAACACCCCGCAGGAATCCTTGAATCAGAGCAAACCCGATGGCTGTAGGACCTTCGAAGCGGATACCTGTCCCTTCGCTGTCGCTCTGGTGACGATTCTGGACTTCGCTGGAGCTCACACGCAGATTACATAAGCACTGCCAAGGCCTCCAGCGCGTTATCGATAACAAGAGATCGAAAGCCGGGGAAGAACAAGCAGCACGTCGCTTTCACACATCAGCCTTTCAATCGCTGGCCATTGTGCTTTTTTTGCTCCCTTCTTCTTGTCTTGATATCTGTGTTGTAGATTTCTCTATTTACTTTGGTAGCACAACCCAATTGCACTTTCCGCCCAATTCCTCTTTCGCCCTTCGAAATGACGTCCGCCGTTGCTACTCTTGCCCTCGGATCTCCCGCTATCAGCCAAACGATTCCTTCTAATTCGCATTCAGCAGATATGCTGGTGTTTCCCTCTTCTCCGCAGGGAGGTGAGCCATCGGCATCTACCTCTATAACCTCGCCGCTACTAGCCACGTCCGCGACCTTCCCTCCAGCCGATTGCCCAGCGCCGTACCCTACAAGTCAGAACATGTCCAATCTGGACACACCAGGCGCAGATCCTACAAATCCCAATACTGGCCTCTCCGCCCTCGCCTCTGCCGCATCCGCGCCGGTGTCATACCTCCGGTCAGTGGTACCCCAAGACGTCTTGCAGATAATGGAGCGGCCTGTGTGCCGCATTCAAAAGTCATACCGCTTGCTTTGCAAATCCATCTTAGTACGGGCTAGCTGATTTCTCTTTTTCTCTATCTCGACGTGTACAGAGCATATGATAGTGCCGAAAACCATTGTTCCAACCATAATGCGACCCAGAGCATGAATTACGCCACTTCTTCACCAAGTGCGACAACCGCTAGCTCCGGGGCAGCTACAGTGAGTCAATTGTCTCGTTCTCGCATTATCTGCAGTTCTTTTCCCCTGCCTTGCATGCTCTCTTTTTGTCTGAAGTGCTTGTATTCTCCGCAAACCCGGCGTGTTCCCGAATAGGTCTAGCGTGCGGTGCATGCCTGACTAGCGTCTCCGACCCAATTTTCCCCTTATCACTGCCGAATCCCATCCCCCGAATTCCTTATCAATCGCAGACCTCCAAAAGCCAGATCAATAATCACATCTCCCTGCAACCTCCCTCGTCTCGGCGAACCCATTGCCCCATTCTTATTCCACTGCGAGCTTCATAGTCATGGCGACCGCAATGGCTGACCACACCGCGCAATATCAGTCCGTCTGCCAGAATTGTGGCACCTCGAAAACTCCCTTATGGCGACGAGACGGCATGGGAGCGGTCCTGTGCAATGCCTGCGGCCTTTTCCTCAAGCTACACGGACGTCCACGCCCATTGAATCTCAAGACAGACGTGATCAAGAGCCGTAACAGAGTTAAAACCTCAGGCCAAGGTTCAAAGCGGAAGGTAAGAAGCTATCATAGCTGTCGCTCTGCTTTCTCCATCCGTCCGGTGTTATCTAATCAGATTTCACTCAGCAGTCAACCGCCGATATGAACGGGTTTCCGACTCCGAAACCTGATACATTGGTGGCGAGCGGTCCATATGGCTTTGGCCAGGCACGAAAAACGTCTCCGCGATCGGACCGCTCGCATTCTCCTTTATCGCGCACCGATACACCCAACTTTGGTCACAACAGCAATATCGCCCCCCCAAACGTGTTCGATAGCGTGACATTGTCAGAGCATGGCATTAGCCCATCCACTGCTGGGCTTTCCGCCTTGCAATTACAACATCCGTCGCCTGGATCCAGCACTTCGTCCCACGATCGCCATCTGGACATGGCGCAAACGTACGAAGGACTAGTCGCTGCGAATACTTCACTTAAAACTCGTGTTAGTGAGCTCGAAGTGATCAACGGACTTTTCCGTGGCAGGGTTACACAATTAGAACAAAGCGAAGAAGCTTCGCGGAGGTCAGAGCTAAATCTACATGGCTCTGAACTGCAGTTGAGACGCTCTCTGGAAGAGGCTCACCAACGGGAAGAAGATTTAAAGCGAAAGATAAAGGAGCTGGAACAGGCTCTCAGTAAATATAAACAACAAGAGAATAGCGACAACCCAAGGGACGATCCGTTAGAACCACAAACGAAAAAGGCCCGTCTTTCTGAGGAGGTCGATCTGTCGGCTGACACCCACGTCGACACTCCCGAGCAGCCCTAGTGCTTGCTAGTGCCTCGTCCGTACAATATGGACTTCTCGAACCACTACCTCTATTTATCCCCTACCAGCCTCCTGTATACCAGATACCCATGTGTTTATTTTTGTTAAAACCTCAGGTTTGGTTATTCTTTTAATCCTAATCTTCTTGCCCTTGTATTTATTACATTCTGCACGTTTCCACTCTCTACTATCGCGGCGCGTCGGACTTTTGGGAATATTTAGCAGAAACCTGGAATATGGTTTAGCTGTTGAAGCCACTTGTTCAGAGGATTGTTTTGAGGACAGCTGCATCTAACGTTATTTACGAGTGCAAGTGTTCATTGTGGGCGTCTCTTGTCCAAACAAAGTGACCCTCTTTTAAACCTTCTGGCTTGGATTTTTGGTTGCTGAAGGTGCTACATGGATCTCCTGCATCATATATCATTTAAAAAAAGAAAAAGAAAAATTTATATTTAGATCTGCTGTCAACTGGTATAGTTCAAGGGTACCAATGTGAAGATTGGTAGCCGATGTATACGATTTCACTGACAACCTCAAAAGCTCAGTTTGTTTCTCTCCGAAGGTATCTACTCAACTAGAGCTAGCATCTCGCGAGGGTTATGCCCAATTTAATCTCATGACCTGTTCTTCGGTATTTATGTATCAATTACACCGGTTGCGAAGTCAAGAAAATTGTCCTAGAATGGGCTGAAAAACTAATCATTAAAATTATCACTGACTCCTTGAAATCTCTACTTGACAGAGACGATATGCCTTAGTCATGCACATTACTTTTCTTTCCAGTTAGTCTCGCAACAACCCTCTTTTCATGCCAGATGCCCCATAAAGTAATCAGAGCGCCTACGATCCCAGCGTACGACGTCACCCAATACGCGGACCGATAACATGCAAGGCCTTCTCTGCAGTCGCCTTCGACATCCGGCAATATCACGGAATTTCGATCATATACGGATCCGTAAATGAGATTAAACGCGTTCCCGCCAACCACAGCGGCGAGGGTCATGATGCCCCAATTCTGCGATATACCACCGATCCCGAACGTGTGTGCAACAAGGGAAGGGAATACGCCAAATAGCATGCCGTAGGCGAAACCGGTCAAACCGGAGACGATTATAAGATGGTGGGGGTTGGAAATCTGGGTGCCTGCGAATTGTCCCGCGGTAAAGAATAAAGATGCCACAAAAACACACCATTGTCGAGACACCTTTAGCTTCTTCACCAGAAAGTCGGAGCCGATTCCTAGATGTTGTGTCAGCCCTGTTATATCACCCATTTCAAGAAAGTAGAATTACCGCTGATAAGACGGCCAACGAAGCTGAGCACGGATAGGGTCGAAACGTGTATGGCCTGCTGCTTCTGAAGAAATCCGGGACTAACATCGCCGTCGTAATACTTCCATAAAGCTTTGACCTAATCAAAGTCAGCGGATTGGAGATTGGATGCTTGCGCCTCTAAAATAAATCTCACATCATTCCCAACATTACTGAATCAATGTTAGCAAAAGTATCTGAAATGAGGGAAGGACTACTAACTTTATCGTCATTAAACCGATCCCCGTCAGCAAGCCAAGCAAGCTGAACAGCTGCCAAAATTCCATGGTTGGCAGCATTGCAAAGCCACGAAGGTCTGCGTGAAGGGAATCCGTGTTCGCACGAGACTTCACATCTTCGTCATGGAAAGAATCGTCGGAGGTGGCTGATGACCTAGTAATTAACGATGCCGTCTCATCAGCAGCGTCGGTATTAGGTATGGCAGGTCCAGCTTGCGGCGCAGATGATGCCAAATCATTCTGGGAGCTCGGGGAATTGTGCGTGGTTTCGATGGAGCCGTGGCTACTGCCTTGCGACCTAGTCCTATGTAGCTCGCTGGACTGGGAGACGGTTCCAGACTCGTGGTCTGAGATTGTGGCGTATGATGATGGCGATGGGTGTGGCAGCAATTTCACAAAAAATGACGAAACAAATATCAACGAGGATGTCCCGACTGCGAGGGCGAGGAGGAATAATGAGGTATCATCATGAAAAGCAAACGTAGCGATTGTCGAGAAAAAGAACGCACTCAACCCAAATGCAGCGAGCGGAAACGCGGTCGCTGAGCCTCTATGATGGGGATAATTGGATGCAGCTGCTCTAAATTGTAAGAATTTGAGCCAGGTGGCAGGGCGGTGGCTAACATACCAGTTTTGATGGACGCTGAGAAGGCAGCGCAACTTCCCAGCCCCGTAAGGAATGAGAAGAAACACAGGACAGGTACGCTCATCGAGCCAGGGCCGGAAGCATATGCTATTGAAGGGATCAGTTTTGTCTTTCACGGCACCTGAGAAGTCGATCCTGACCTCGATGTATGGGGAAATATCCAAGAAATAGCGCCACGGTCCCAATCAGAGTACCAGGCCGCGGTCCTTTTGAATCAATAAGCAAACCGATCGGAACACCACTCGCATACGTTCCTATATTCCCTGCGGTGCCCTATAGCCCCTTAGTCTACTGAAAATGGGCTGAAGGACACGAAGATACGTACGATAAAATTACTTTCCGTAGAAGAGAGATTCATACGGTCCGCAAACTGGGGTGCCCATGCTGAATAGACGTACTAGAGAGACATCAACCATTTGGACATCAAATATATTCGGATTCGTAGCTACATTGGTTCCGCTAGCGAGCGCAATCACCGTAGCCGCTACCACGGTGAGCAACCGCTGAGTTGCCGTTACCGACGAAGCCATTGGTAATGTAGAAGAATTGTAGGCGCAAAAGGGCACCTTTCTAACAGCCTGCCGTGTTTTAACCCCATGTGATAGTTGAAAATGCCCAAGTATAGAAGCCCCAAGATCCTTGCGAATCGGCAGTCTAGGGTTGTGGAAGCCGTTATTTGCGCAGCACACGATGTTCAGAACTGGACACGGAGGGAGTCAAATAGTTATAAGGCGGCAGACAGCACGTATCCCGTCCCCACCCAGCGGATATCAGAAGATGGACAGTTGAAGATCGAGTTCGAGCACAAGGCCCTCCTTTATCGGGCGAAGTCGTGACGGGATTATGTAATCCATGTGACGTGATGCGTGCCAAGACAACCCGCCTTTCACTCTCTCTTCGCGCTCTCTGAGGTCGCTGTCGTCGTCCATGAACCTCGAAGCGCCCATTTGACGGCAGCTCACCATCCCCTATTTATACCCCACCTGAGCACCACTTTTGCAGGCGCGCACTATGGGTGCGCTACTCTCTCTGCCGTTGATGGCAGTCCCGAGCATGGGAACTGTGAGATGCCTCCGTTTCCCGCCACACCACCGTTTGCTAACCCGGTCGATAGGTCGTGGGTTGTCTGGCCTCGTGCTGCGGAGCGGCGACCTGCTCTGCTTTGTGTCGAGCATGTGGGAAATTTCAGAGCAGGTAGGCGCTAATCTACATGGACTGTTTTGCGGAGCGCTGACATGGTAGTTCTGTAGCATGGCCACGAGAATCGCATACGCACTCATCCTCCTCGTGAATTCTATCCTTTCGTGGATAATGCTCACCAGATGGGCCTTGAATAAACTCGAACATCTTACATTCGACTTTTTACCTATCAGTTGTGATGGAGAAAAATGCCACGGCTGGGTTGCCGTTCATCGCATCAATTTCGCCCTCGGCCTTTTCCACATCATCCTAGCGCTCCTCCTGCTCGGAGTACGTTCGTCGAAAGACCATCGCGCCGGTTTACAAAATGGATACTGGGGCCCCAAAATTATCATTTGGCTGGCGCTGATCGTCCTCTCGTTTTTCATCCCAGAGCCGTTCTTCTTCGTTTGGGGCAGTTATTTCGCTTTCATCGGTGCAATACTATTTTTGTTGCTCGGTCTTATTCTCCTAGTCGACCTTGCACATACATGGGCGGAATTATGTATTGAAAAGATTGAAGACAACGGCTCACGGATGTGGCAGACCCTGCTGATTGGCTCGACTTTGGGGATGTATATCGCATCCTTTGCCATGACCGTCCTCATGTATGTGTTTTTCGCACATAGTGGCTGCTCGATGAACCAAGCCGCAATAACCGTAAGCACATTCTTTACTCTCATGCGACCTCTTGACGCTTATCCCTGATAGGTAAACCTGATCCTCTTCTTGATTATTTCCGCGGTATCTATCCAGCCCGCTGTGCAGGCGGCGAATTCTCGTGCTGGCTTGGCACAGGCAGCTATGGTCACTGTTTACTGCACTTACTTGACCATGTCGGCGGTTTCCATGGAGCCAGACGACAAACAATGCAATCCCCTTCTTCGTGCCCGTGGTACTAGAACCGCTTCCATCGTCCTTGGAGCCATTGTCACTATGTTGACTATTGCTTACACAACCACACGCGCTGCTACCCAAGGCATAGCCCTCGGATCAACCGCGGCGCATGCTGATTATTCCCGCTTGGGTCAGGATGAGATGGATCACGGTCTTGTCACACAGCAGCCTGGGCGTAACCGCCGCGAAATGCGTGCTGAGGCGCTTCGTGCCGCAGTTGAGAGCGGAAGTCTCCCGGCATCGGCGTTGGATGATAGCGATGATGAATCGGATGACGACGCTGACTCTAAGGATGACGAGCGGGGCTCAACTCAGTACAATTACTCGTTGTTCCATATCATTTTCTTACTTGCTACGATGTGGGTGGCTACTTTACTTACGCAGAACTTGGACACTGAAGCAAAGGATGATCTAGCCCCGGTCGGCAGAACATATTGGGCCAGTTGGGTAAAGATTATCAGTGCCTGGGTATGCTACGGCATATATCTGTGGACCCTAGTCGCTCCTGTTTTGATGCCCGAGCGATTTGACGGTTAAGTTGACATGCATGTAATGAATGACCTGGGTCGCTGGTGACGACTGTTCAATTATTTTTTTGCTGCACTCGGAATCCTAATCGGAAATTTGGTTCTCATTGGCGTATTGGTAACCAATAGGAAATGTATCTTTTCAAGCTGCACATAGGGAAATAGAATACCCACATCCTTCTTTTGACCGGTGTTATTCGTGTTGAATCCCCTTAATGGTTGTTTTGGATAATTTTGTAGTTCGAATCACGCTGTGACGTCACATGCCGTGGAGTGAGATTAACCGGTGAAACACGCAACGCGTCGCTTCAGCCGGTGCGCGCGACGGGAACCTCGCCGCATCCATCTTGTATCGCACTCATCGCCATGGGATGAACATGGCCGCAATCAAGGCCATTGAGGCCCGCTCGGTTCGTTATCGCATATCCAGGCCACCTCTCTGCGCATCCACTGACATGTATTTTTAGGTACACCAAATCCAGTCCGGACAGGTGATCGTTGACCTCTGCTCAGTGGTGAAAGAACTCGTCGAGAACAGCCTCGACGCCGGTGCCACTTCGCTTGGTACGAGCTGTTTGCAACGTGACATGTTCTTTCTGTGAATCATTCTAATTGCAGAATTAAATCAGACATCCGATTCAAGAACAATGGCTTGGATCTCATCGAGGTCCAGGATAACGGGAATGGCATCGCACCCAGTAACTACGAGAGCGTCGGTAGGGGTTCAAAAAGGGGTTTGAAAGATGGAACGGGCCGCTAACTTCGTCGCAGCTCTCAAGCATTACACATCCAAGCTTTCCACCTTTGAAGACCTGTCGTCCCTACAAACCTTTGGATTTCGCGGTGAAGCGCTCTCTTCTCTCTGCGCCCTCTCGGACTTTCATATAATTACCGCCCAGCCGGATCAGGTTCCCAAAGCCACACGCTTAGACTTTGAAGTTTCTGGCAAACTAAAAAGCACTCAAATGGTGGCTGGCCAAAAGGGAACCACCGCCTCCGTCGAGAATTTGTTCCAGCGGCTTCCTGTTCGACGACGCGAGCTGGAGAAGAATATCAAGAGGGAATACGGCAAAGTTTTGGGCTTGTTGCATGCTTATGCGTGCATCAGTACAGGAGTTCGCTTCAATGTCAAGAATCAGATGCCCAAGGGGAAAAGTGTGGTGGTGTTTGCGACAAAGTCGAATCCCACCACGAAGGAAAATATATCAAATGTATATGGCGCGAAGACGCTGCTTGCTCTGGTGCCCCTTGATTTAGACTTGGAGTTCGAGGGGAGCGCAGGTTCAAAGGCCCTGGGTGGCAGGACAACCGGATCCACGAATAAGATTTTTGTGCATGGCTACATATCTAAACCGGTGTTTGGCGAAGGGAGACAGACTCCCGATCGCCAGATGTTTTTCGTCAATTCTCGCCCGTGCGGTTTGCCGCAGATTGCGAGGGCTTTTAATGAAGTTTACAGGTCTTTCAACATATCGCAGTCACCATTCATATTTGCGAATTTCGAGATGGATACCAACGCGTACGATGTTAATGTTTCACCGGATAAACGTACAATACTGCTGCACGAGGCTGGTGCGCTTATCGAGTCTTTAAAAGCATCTTTGACGGAATTATTTGAGGTTCAAGATCAAACCGTGCCGCAAGCCCAGCTTTTAACCCCAAGGCAAAGTACAATGAAACAACTATTGAATACCAAAACGCCCCTGCCTGGTCCAAGGGTCACAACCCCTATTAGTCAAAGCGTTGGGGATAGTACAGAAATGGATAAAGAGTCTGACCCTTCTCGAAATTCGACGACGGACATTCTGAAAAGGTTTGGTGAGTGCCAGCGGTCGTCCCCTACAAGCCAGCCTCTTGGAGAAGCCCGAGCCGCAATTGAAAATACCGCGAACGAGACAATAGATTTATCTGCGCCTAGATATACACCAAAGACTAGAGCTCATGAGCTCAATGAATCAAGGCAGACATCGCCTCTTCTCAGCAAAGAGGGAATTGGAATATCCCATCAAAGCACCCCCAAAGGTTCGCCCAATCTCATCAAGGCTGCGTTCGATAGAATGCGCCCTACGAGGCCGGCAGCTGAAATTGCAACTATCACAATCGGCGACAAAACAGTTACATCGACGATTGGATATACGTCGCCACATAAACGGAAATTTTCCCACGAAGAATCGAGGTCTACTCTTCCACCAAAGCGCCAGGCACGTTCCGCGCCGACCCGGAGACTTGGGCAAACTTTGAGATCCTTTGCTGCTCCCGGTACTCAAACCACTATTGATCAAGAACCAGAAGGAAACGATGAAGAGGGAGAGGAACAAGATTCCACGGCTGAGCAGACCCTGAGTGATTCTGAAACGGGTTCGGACAAGGAACATCCTGAGCTCAGAGAGACCGAACAGGCCCCAGGATATGTAGCAGAGGAAAAAAGCGATTCTGCAGCCAGCTCGGATGCTAGTTACATTGACGATCGGGAACAAAAAGCCAGGGAGGAAAGCAAAGTGGTTGAGCTAGTACGGGCTGCGGAAGAAGCTGCTAGCCTACCTTCAGAGCCTAGCATCGAACGGGCGAACAAAATGTCCAGGCGTTCACGCGGAAAGGATTCGACTGTGGATTTGATGTGCTCGATCGACGGATCATTGGCAAAAATCGAGGCTCAACTCAAGTCACTGCAAGAAAATCTCAAGGCGCTGGAAGGCTACAACGGTTTGGATGAACCTTTACGGGAAGATGATACACAACAGCAAGATTCGGCAGAAGAGAAGTTGTCTCTCACGGTGTCAAAAGGCGATTTTGGCAAGATGCGGATCGTTGGGCAATTCAATCTTGGATTCATTTTGGCTATCAGGCCCGGAAGTGATGACGCAAGCCTTCAGGAGAATTCGACAAAAGACGAACTCTTCATAATCGACCAACACGCTTCTGATGAGAAGTACAATTTTGAGAGACTCCAAGCGGAGACAGTGGTACAAAACCAGCGTCTTGTCAAACCAAAGACACTTGACCTTACGGCTGTTGAGGAAGAGGTTATCATAGATAACATTTCAGCCCTGGAAAAAAATGGCTTCGTCGTCGATATCGACATGAGCGGGGACGAGCCCATTGGACAGCGGTGCAAGTTGATCAGCCTGCCCTTGAGCAAAGAAGTAGTTTTCAACACGCGAGACCTGGAAGAATTAATCGCTTTATTAGCCGAGTCGCCTCAGCACCACCGAGCATCCCAGGGCGGTGACAGTGCCCCATCATCACAATCTGCGGATTGCCATGTTCCCCGCCCGAGTAAAGTACGCAAAATGTTTGCCATGCGTGCCTGTCGATCGAGCATCATGATCGGCAAGACTCTTACGGTCAAACAGATGGAGAAGGTCGTTCGACACATGGGAACGATCGATAAGCCATGGAATTGCCCGCACGGACGGCCGACGATGAGGCACTTGATGAGCCTGGGCCGGTGGAATGAGTGGAACGAGTGGCCGGAATTGGAGATCGACGACGAAAGTGAAGGCGAGAGTCCCGACGAGCATGGACTTGGAGTTTGGAGACGATTCTTGGAGGAGTATGGTGATTTCGAGGAGTAGATTCTGGATATATTTGGGTCGATTTTTGCGTTTTTCTTTCTTTTGGATAAATAGACTTGGAGAGTTTTCGAACTTTAGATCAAATCGATTGGATTCCAAACATTTCGACCCCTTGGGTATCAAACCGTTCGATAATGGGACAAATCGAATGAAGAACGCATCGTAGCCCGCCGACGACACGGAGAAGAGTGTGGGTATCAAAACCACCGTCTCAGCCCACTCCGCTGCCTCCCCTCCTGCTGCGGCTTCATCTTCCCATTCTTCAGGTCCTCCTCATCCGCCAACCTCAACGACTCCTCCACAATCAACAAGTCACGCTCCATCATCTCAGCCCAGTTCTGCAGGTCGCCCACCTCCTTCAGGCCCTGCTGGCCCTGGTCGGCAAGCTTCTCCAGCTCGTTGCCCTGCTTGGCGAGCTGGTCGGTCGTTCGCTTCAGCTCCGCTTCTTGCTTCTGGATGATGGCGGCGTTTTCGTGGAGGGTTGAGGCGCGGGCGCGCAGGTCGGTGTCGAGGTTGGAGCCGACGGATTTGAGGGAGGCGAGGAAGGCGGTGCGGGCTTCGGCGGTGGGATCGGGAGAGGGAGATGGGTCGACGGGGGGTTGTTCTGCGGTCATTGCTGGATGGCTGTCGAGTTTTTGTCTTGAAGCTCGGGTCTGATGGGCGTTCCTGTTGAAATGCGGGATGATGGAAAGGCTGTGGGCGGGGTAATGGCCGTTGGGTAACTAACTAGCCAGTGTGCACCGGCAGGGCTAAATTATAATAGCACCCAGAGGGAACTAAATATCACAGGGAGAATGCTGCGGATCTTGAAAGCATTCAAAAGCTCTGACGGCCGCTCCACGGCATCCACAGTCGATGCCTTGAACACGGGGATAATTAGTGATAGTTCCTCCGCATTTCTTGCATCGGTTTAGATCCTGGTAGAACACGCATAGCTTGGCTTGGGAACAGGTGCTGTTGACTGTGTTGGGAGTGAGCTGCAATCTACTCGACTGCTGGCGTAGGGCTTGTATGAAGTAGACAGGCTCTTTGATTCAGAACCTATTCTGTTGCTGTCTGGCTATAAAGATAGAGAAAGGTCCCCGAAATTGGAGGCTTCCGGCTACCACACTTCTTTGCCGCCGCGTTCGTATGCCAGGCCCCATAACAAATACTCCTCATCGTAGAACCCCGGGGGCGGTGTGCGTTCGTTTAGAAAGATATGCTCATAGTCAATAATCCAGCTGCAGGCAATGTCAACGCAAGCGTCAAGGGAGAATTCTCCCAGTCAACAGCAACATACCACTTATTTCGCTCCTCATCGTAGACGAGATTCCCAAGATGTGAGTCGTGCGAGCTAGCATGACATCGATACAGTTCGCTATTTAGTACAGGGTCAGTTAGCATGATTTGGGAGCCTGCGATTAGTATCACTAGGTTGCAAACTCACCTCAACGATTCCCGAAACGCAGCCCTGATCTTCTCCCGTTTGGCAAAATCAAAATCCCAAAAAGCAGCCAGCGAGATCCCAGGGACCTTCTCCATCATGATGAAGACCAGGTACCCGTCCGGCACGGGCATGTCGTCCGACTGCTGCGTATATGCCACATGGAAGAGCTCGGGGGTCACCCGACAGCCCAGGTCATTGAGGCGTCTCAACGATGAAGCTTCTTGCGTGACCCAAGTGAAGGGCTCTTCCTCTGCTAGGCGCCTGCGGACCTCGGGATTGCGACTGATGGGGTGCTTGGGAGGCGCCCTGATCCCAGATGCATCAGTCAAACATCCTCTTCTTAAGGCGTCCGGGCGTCTTACTGCAGGTGAACTTTGATGATGATCTCCATCCCCGGTGCATCACCCTCTATCTGGTGGCAACAGTAAACAGCTTGGGCCTCTGACATTGCAATCCCTCTTTTGGAATAAATTGCAGGGCAGAAGTTGGTTCGCTCGGACAATTTCTTGCCAAACTTCCAGACATTTCCATCTGGTGTGTGGAGTTCATAGCCATTGAAGTAATTGCCTATCCATCTCTGGTAAACATCTGGGCCACCCATGATGAGCAGAAAGCAGAAAATGCAGAAAGAAGAGAAGATGGTTGTGATAATAACACAGAGGAACCTGCTGCAAAGTCCATCCACAAGCTCACTGGTTGTTTTGTAGTTGTGTTTCTGTTATTGTTCCCTGGAGATAAGGTCAGCTTGATCAACAATGGTTTCTTCTTAGTTGAACAGGCAACCATCCGTGAACAATGGAGGTAGATAACCGCCCAGGATCCTCAACATTAGGGGGTAACCGGTGGGCTGGCTATGCTCCAAAAACGGACCTCAAGGCGAGATGAGCTTGAGCAGCCTGGGTCCAATTGGCATGCACAGCACCAAAGTGTATAAAGATGGCCTTCGCTGCTCTCTTGTTACAAGAGGCTTAAGGCCCATGGTTAGGGGCTACAACTAGGCAGCCTTTATCCCTACCTGGTCGGCACCTTTGAAGCTCCTTCGAGTCCTTGAGCCACCAGGCAGCAGCACTTCCGCCGCTTCCACAACGCGGGCTCTTATATTGGGTAGGCGCAGGGCACGGGTACTCACCATAACTATCTCCTCGTCCTCCACTTGAAACGTCCATCATCATCCATTAGGACCGTGCTTCCGCGCTGTTAATGCAGCTTCCAACATGTCCAGAGTCACAGTCTCTCATTTTTTGGAAGAGAAGGCCAAGGCACTCGGATCCAACCTTGACTACTGTCGGACCTCTCAGGACAGTCTTCACCGCGCCTGTTCCGAGAAGCTATTGAGCCACAAGGAGTACAGCGAGGAGATGTTGAAAGTTGATCAAGTCTCCAAGCCGGTTGTGTCAGAGTTACGCGTCTTGAAGAGACAACGAAGGACTTTGGAACATGACGTTCAAGAAGGCCCGTACCTTGAGAAATCAACACTTCTCTCGCTGGGTCGAAACATCTCAGGTTTTGAATTACCCCCTCCAATCTATGAAGGCAATACCTTTGATGGGGATAAACCTGACTCTGAGAATGAAGATCTTGCTCTTTCTGCACTGCTGAGAGATGCAATGATAGCCATGGCTAAAGAAGCCGAAAAGAAGTCCGGCAGTGAATATGATGAGAGCTCTGAGAGTGATGAAGAAGAATAAGAGGTTTTGAGATTGTAGGAATATCCTACCAAAAAGTGTGTTGCTTGTTTTCTACTTTTCAGATGTATTATATTAGACTTCAAATTCACACTGTTTAGTAGATATTAATTCATGGGAGAAAAGCGTCCTTGGTAACTTGAACAAAGTGCATACTCATTGTCAGCTGAGCTGGAAGGCTCCAAGACATTTGATTTACCGCATGTGGACTTTGATGAGTAAACAACTCTTACTATGTAAGGGCTCAGGCAGAGTTGTACCTGATTGATTCAGGCTGGACAAGGAGATTGAGGACGCTGATTGACTAAATAGTGCATTCTAAGCACTGGGCTTTAACTATTAGGTATTTGTGTTCACAACCTCCCCCTGACAGCCACCGCACTCGTTGCTGCGACTCCCATGGCCTCAAGCTCCGCAAGAAGGACACCCTCGGGCACGTCGTCTCCGTCTTCGGATTCCAATTCAAGAGCCCACGATACTCTTCCCGCCCGCGGGCTGCGCACCTCAATTTCCATCTTCATCTGCTTCACAAATGCAATGACGGCATTCTCCTCGACCTCATCTCCTTCGGACACCAGCATCTCGATCAGTTTCCCGCTCATTGGCAGAGTGACGTGGGCCTGGTTGTTCGGATCTCCCAGACGGTGAGTTGACGATAGGGAGCTGGCGGATGTCGAGGTCGTGGAGAGAGTCATCTTGTACGGCGTTGTCTTGGCTGCCGTCGAGCCCGCTGCCGGCGTTGTGTATTCGATTTCGGCGCTGAGTGAGGATGGGAATTCGTTGCGTAGCACTCGCTTCAGAAGCAGATGATGTGGTAGCTGCGGCTGGGGGGAGTCTGATTTCTCGCCCAACGGCTGCAGGTCGATGGACCATGTGTCTCCCTTGCGGAACATTACGCTGGAAGCCGCTGCGGATAGTGCTTGCGAGACGGATGATGATGGCAAGGAAGGCCTGCTGGATTGGATGGACTGTGAGAGCCTTTGTCCATGAGCTACGATATCGCTCAAGTTGGCTTCAAGCCACTGGGTATCGGCTCTCCATTCTCGAAAATCGTTACTATCAACGACTGCACGGAGAACATCGATATTGGTTTTGATCCCGGAGATTCTGGTGTCTTCGAGGACTCTCCTGGCCTTTGAGATCACCGCGTCCCAGCTTGCCGCCGTGATGATAATTTTTGCGACCATGTTATCAAAATCAGATCCGACCACGACGGGCGACATGGCTGAGATATTAGTGTCAACTCTGACTCCATTGCCACCTGGGACGTGGAATTCTGTTATCTTGCCAATACTCAAAGCGAAGTTGGCAGCTGGATCCTCAGCACAGAGGCGCAATTGAATGGAATGGGGCCCTGGCGGAACCTCTGGGTTTCGCTTTTCGCCGAGTCCGATATCTTGGAGCGATGCGCCCTGTGCCAGCAGGAACTGAGAGCGTACAAGGTCGACAGAGGTTATGCACTCAGTGATGGTGTGTTCTACCTGCAAACGCGGGTTGATTTCTAGGAAATAGAATTCGGATAGCTGCTCGTTGACCAAGAACTCGAATGTTCCTAGGGATAGATATTTAATCTGAAAACGTCAGTAATATACCCAAAACATGGGAATGGCGTCCTTACTCTGCTGGCAATAAGCAACGCAGCTTCGATTACCCGACGAATAAGCCCGCGGTCTTTTATCAATGCAGGCGCGCACTCGACGATCTTCTGAAAGCGCCGCTGAATGCTGCAATCTCTTTCCCACAAATGTCTGACTTGTCCAGTCCCATCGCCAATGACCTGTACCTCGACGTGATGGTATCCCTCAACCGCCGCCTTTTCCACAAAAACCTTCCTCGAAGGCGATTCACCAGTGGCTCGGTCAACGGACGTCTGCAGCATACTTTCGCTTCTCACAAGACGGATGCCTCGCCCGCCACCCCCGTCCACAGCCTTGACCATCACCGGATACCCAACTTCCGCCGCAAAAGCTTTGATGACGTTTAGATCGCTGGTGGGTTGGGTGATTGCCTTCAACACAGGAACACCGCAGGCATCAGCCAGCTGTTTGGCTTGAAGCTTATTCCCAGTCTGTGCCAAAACATCCCATCCTGGACCGATCACTTTGGCGCCCGCTTCCTCCCACATACGCTGGGCGAACTCTGGGCTCTCGCTCAGGAACCCGTAGCCTGGATGGACGGTATCAATGGAGTGTTCTTTGGCGAGCTTCACGAGTAACGAAACGTCCATGTAGGACGCCGGGCTTGGAAGTGCCAACGTATGATGGGGAGCACCGATGTCGCAATGGGACTGGTCACCCGGGGTATACAGGGCATAGGTCTCAACGTGGTTTGGGAGTTCTCTGGCGGCTTGGAGAATTCGAACGGCGATTTCGCCTCTGTGAAGAATCAATTCATAAGCACTGGGCCTTTGTTCCAGTATCATATCAACATACCTATTAGCCACCAACAGCTTTCGTATCGGCCTCGCTGGAGGCACCATTGTGATTTACGGGTATTTCCTCTCCTCTCTCAATATGAGCAGCACAAACCCCGGAGAATCAGGAAATACGACTCTATATTTCCTTTCGTAACGATAGTAGAACCCTCGTGTCCTATTCTCTGTTCATCCGTCCGTCAACATTCCGGCTGTTGTTATCCGCCATCTCAAGTCCCCAGAAAGGCCTCCTTGACGTCCCGGGCCCCGAAACCCACATTCTCGTTCTCCAAAAGCACCAGAGATCCCTCGGCGCCATCCCGGCACTCTCCAGTCGCGCACCGTTCGCATCTCCACCCGTTGCTTCGCCTTTGTTGTGGCCTGCGGGGGGAGGTTCTCCGCAGAACGACTGTGGTTCACAGATGCCGAGGCTTTTCCGTCGTCGTCAAGAACCCCCATCGTCACTGCGCGTTACTGGCCGTTGCCCGAGGGTATGAATCGTCTTCCCATCGTGTGCGCAATTGGAAGAATTGCTTGCGAAAATGCCCGATCGCTTTGTTTAGGGACATCTTTTATTTTCTTCACACAAGGGTCGTGTTGTTGCCGTGCGGGGAGAAATAGAAGAAGACCTTTGTTATCACGACTAAGCTATCTAACTACAAGTGAACATTCCGGCGAAATCTATATTCTGCAATCTTGCCAGGCGCTGCAGAATAATTAACCTAGCTTGGAGAATCGAATTTCTAGACCTTGGCCGAGGTTCCGTTGTATAATCACTTGAGTGAGCAAAGAACATCTCTCGAGCGGTTAACCACGTTGGAAAGGCAGCAGAGAAGTTCAACCTCTGCGAAACAGTCCACAACCATGACGAAAGACGAGAGAAACACCAGCGGGTCTCAGGCATCTCAAAAGGCCACCGAGAGACTGAACCAACTTTCGTCCCATCTTGAGTCGGGCGCAAACCAGGCCAAAAAGCGCAAATCCACCAAATCAGCTCTTCCCGCAGACCATTCCGATGTACTCGGCCAGATAGCCACCTTACGTACTCTCGCCGCCAACCCTGACCCCAAGAACCGGGGCTACATTCGCCAAAAACAGGCCGGAAAACTGTGGGTGCGCGAACGAATCCATGAATTACTCGACCCGAACACGTTTCAGGAAATCGGTTCCGTCAGCGGCACGGTGACATGGAAACAAACAGGCGCATTGACGGAAGAGCCGGTGGCATTCACACCAAGTAACAACGTACAGGGCATGGGCAAGTTGAATGGAAGAGAGATTCTCTTAACAGCGGACGATTTCAGTATTCGTGGAGGCCATGCGGACGGCGCCATAGCTGCAAAGACCGAATACATGGAGCAGATGGCAATTGCATTGCGATTGCCGATGATCAAACTCGTGGATGGAAGCTCCGGAGGTGGCAGTGTAACGACGATTAGAACAGAGGGCTGGTCCTATATCCCACAAGTTAAGCTCTTTAAACATGTTGTCGAGCAATTAAACATGGGAATTCCAAACTTGGGCGCCGTTGTTGGTCCAGCTGTAAGGTTTCTCTCTGGGTATATAGATTTCTACGGACTGACTTGGCGGTGCAGATAGGCCTTGGTGCCGCCAGAGTGGTTTCTTGCCATTTCTCCGTGATGGCCGCTGATATAGGGTCACTGTTTAATGCTGGACCCAAAGTGGTCGAGGGGGCAACGTTTGAGGAAGGGCTAGGATTTCAGGAACTCGGTGGGCCGATGATGCATTGCACCAACGGCACCATCGATAACCTCGCCGCAAATGAGGCAGAATGCTTCGAGCAAATACGTACTGTGCTGGCGTACCTTCCGAATTCCGGAGCTGAAGCTCCCCCAGTGATCGCGTGCAGCGATCCAGAAAATAGGCAGGATATCTCGCTTCGAAGTATAATCCCCAGGCGGCAGCAACGAATGTATAATCCATGGGCAATCATCAAGTCAGTAGTCGACAAAGACTCGTGGTTCGAGATTGGCCCGCTTTGGGGAAGGACAGCAATAACGGGCCTCGCTCGCCTTGGAGGTCGACCGGTCGGCATCATTTCGCTAAACTGCGAAGTCAACAGCGGAGCGTTGGATGCCGGTGGGAGCCAGAAGCTGACTCGACTGCTTAAATTATGTGATGTTATGAATATCCCCGTTCTCCAGTTTATTGACGTCCGTAAGTGAACACCGTCCCAACAACGGCGTCTAGCACCAGGCGGGACAATTAAAACTAACCGTGAATGCAGCTGGATATGCGATCGGGACAGTCGCCGAACGAACGGCTACCATGCGTTGGGGCATCGAGCTTGCAAAAGCGTACTACACGACCACCATGCCAATATTCAACGTCATCACCAGAAGAGCTTTTGGTGTCGCCGGCGGGGTTATGGTGGGCTGTCGTGATCCCAAAATGCAAGTTGCCTGGCCGTCGGGTCAATGGGGATCCTTGCCATTAGACGGTGGAATTGAAGTCGGGCATCGACATGAGCTGCGAGAAGCCGAAAAGTTAGGCAAAAAAGCTGAGCGGTACAAAGAACTGGAAGATGAATATCTCCGGCTCATGAATCCAGTTCGAACGGCCAATGCATTTGGCGTGGAAGAGATCATTGATCCAAAGGACACTCGTACCATCGTCTGTGCTTGGGCAAGACGTGTCTACCAGACCCTGATGCCAGAGAGATTGGCAAGTAGGGCTAACGGAACGATCAAGCCCAGCTTCGCATAGAGCATGTATACTTCGTTACATAGAACTTCAAGAGTATAGAAGCTTGTTGCAATCGACGATCATTTGAGCTTGCCGACGCCTTGCAGTGTCAGGTATACGTCCGTTCCCCAGCCCCACATACTCTGAAGATGGATGCTGCCACCAAAATACTCTGCGTATGCTCGCCCTAGAGGCAAGCCGTAGCCCAATCCTGCGATGGTACTGTTATTAATATTACTGCTCGAAAGGGCGTTTAGCCCGTCAACGTTGCCATTGTCGTCGTATGAGACCTCCTCCTCTGAGTATGTTGTATAATTGTAAGACCAAATGTGCGGCAGTATCTCCGGGGGTATGCCGCCTCCACGATCACGGAAACGGATTGTAATGCTCTGCGTTGGCGAGTCGATGGATCCAAATAGCCCGTTTTTGCTGAGGATTTCACCAGGCTCGCTGGCTGTTTGGAAGTCGAATTCGCTTTTAGATGGTTTACAAAACTGACAGATCGTCTGCGTTCCTTTTTTATCATTATCGACTACATCAGGCGCCGATGCAATAGTGACCTCGACAGGTTCGCGCTCGTTTTCACTCTCCACAACAGCTCGGAATGAGTTCTTCAAAAGTTCTGTAATTATATATTCCAGATGGACTGGTATATGGGCGAATGTGGCATCGACTTCACCGTTTATGATTAGACGAGGTCGAATACCATATTTGAGCTCACAGATTTCGGCAACAAACTCCTCACAACTGCGGATGAGTCGAGCAGGCTGAAGAGCCGTATCAATCACGCCGATATAGTTAGATGGAATAGGCGGCCTGCCTTCCTCAGTTGGTTGGGATGCCATGTGCAAAGCCAAGTGTTGTTGGGCGATCAACCGCGTGCCGATCCTTGCACGAAGATGCTCATCAAGGAATGTTGTGACTTCCTGGGGGCTGATGTATTTTCGGCACTCAAGAAATCCTCTGGCTAAGATGGGAATGGTGTTTGTATGGGTCTGAACCAGCTCTGCCATCGTTTCTGTGAACTGTATCTCATCTTCCACCGTGGTGATTCGCTTCTTCTGGAACGGCAACAGGGTCGACAAGGAGTGAACGTAGTTATTATATATCTGCGAAATGTGGGGATTCGAGACAACTATAAATGGCAGGTTCCCAAGGGTTTGAATTCGATATGCCAGCCGCGCGGGAAGCAGAGACAAGGTAAAATTGGCAGACTCCAGCAGAGCCTCGCGTGACAGGGGAGGGCAGCCATGTCTATAGGAACGGCCATGCATGAGCTTCATTTGCATCCAGCACCACCCACAGCCAATCTGGACTTACCTGAGCAGGTCATTCAATGTCAACGGACGTTTAGGACTGGCTGCCAACTGTGTAACTTCATCCGTAACGACATCCGTTGCCGACGACGGGTAGGACCAGGGGTTCGTGGTTAGCGAGCGGGTTGACTGGAGCGGCAAACCGGGCCGGAAGAGTCGCGCACAGTAGGCCTGGCGAAAGGGAGGCATGTTTGATTCATCCCGTAGCTTCTGTCTGGGGAGCCTGAGGGAGCACGTCGAGAAGAGACGAAGCGAGGGGATGCGAGTCGCAGCAAGGCGGTGTTTGCTTGCTGTTTGGCGTGTTTGCATCCGACGGTTAGCAGCGGATTCATTTGACGCTAGTCGTTAACTGGTTAGTCAAAAAATACTCTCTGACTAATCATACGGTGCTGCTTTAACCTGCTTGGCTGACGTAACCGTGTTTACACCAGCGTCAAACAGGATCGGATGGGATCGTTGTCGTGCAGTCTCATCCGGGCTGTTGACAGATTCTTGGACATCTGTCTGAGGCAGCTGAAGCAATGGCATTGATACGGCTATTGAGACTTTTCACAGCAATACGATGCCCTAGAACGCAACCAAGAGTATGACAGCGTCGTGTGGTTCGCTGTCTCTCGTTGAGAATGCTCGGCTTTCGAACTGCGGTCCGCGCACATACCCGAAGCTGGCCTGTCTCGAAATCCTTCGTTGGCCTTGGGCGCTGGAACCGCTCTATCAATCACGTTTGCGGCAGATCGGTTACCTCAATTGCATCGTCTCCGCGGAGCTTCCCGTCGTTCGGGTTTGACGAGGTTGACCATTGGCAGCCGATCGAAGAGGAGAGACTCCCTAATTATCAGGCCGAGAAATATTACCCCGTCCGCATCGGGGAAATATTCAATTCGAGGTATCAGGTCATTACAAAACTTGGGTTTGGGACGGCTTCCACGATATGGCTCTGTCGGGATCTGCGGTATGAAGTTTGGCTATCAACAGTATAAATTTCTACTAAAAACTATCACAGAGAGCGCCGCTATTTGGCTCTTAAAGTCCATGTATTAACTCGCGATTTGCCTGCCGAACTTGTTCTGGCGAAATACATGAACGGCATTAACGGAAAACATGAAGGTGCCAAACATGTACGACGTGTGCTTGATTGGTTTGAGATATCCGGCCCGCATGGGAGGCACCACTGCATCCTTTATGAACCTACCGGTGTGGATATCACAACATTTATCCATCGGCTAAAGGGTGCAGCGCTGCAAGAGAACCTGACGCGGATCACTGCGAGAGTGATGCTGATGGGCCTGGATTACCTTCATAAGATCAATATCGTGCACACAGGTGATACAACCACCGTTGACAGCATTTGAACACTGGCGCTGATCTAATTACAGATGTGCAGCCGAACAACATTCTCTTGGCGATAGATGATGACTCTATTCTAGCAAAACTGGAAGATGAGGAGCTCGAAGATCCCGTGTCGCGAAAATCGCTTCCCGACAGAACCGTGTACCTTACTCGATACATGCCCATCACCAACGGGGAACCAATTCTCTCCGATCTGGGAGAAGCTCGGGTCGCATGTGGAAAAAGCAAGGGGCTAATCATGCCTAGCATCTACAGGGCCCCCGAGATATTGCTAGGCATGGAATGGGATAATAAAGTTGATATATGGAGCGTAGCTCAGACAGTAGGTCGGCTCCTCGACTCTGGGGCATAGGGCATATATCTAACCGGGGACTCCGTCAGATTTGGTCGATATTTGAAGGTGATCATCTATTCCGGAATATCGATCACACAGGGGACCTTAACCCCGCGCAACGGTTTGCAGAGATGGTTGCTCTAATCGGTCCTCCTCCGGCTGAGTTTCTCAAACGCAGCAAGGAAAGCCGGAAATACTGGGATGAAAAAGGTAGGTTGTCGAACTGCAGGTTAGGGGCTATTTGGATACTCGAGGCCTGAGCTCATTCGTACAATAGGGCGCTGGGAGGGTTCGTACCCGATACCTGATGAATCGCTCGAGTCTCGCGAAACACAACTTGAAGGTGAAGATAAAGTGCGTTTCTTACGGTTCATGAGGAAGATTCTGCGATGGCTCCCGGAGGAGCGGCCAACCGCAGAGGAGTTGCTCAAAGAGGACGAATGGTTACAGGGACAAGCGATCTCAAAATCTACTCACCATGTTATCCCTAGATTTCAGAATTGATCTGTGTAGTTTGTGTTGAAGTCCTAATAAAGCTGCTATTGTCTCACTGGTGACGAATCCTTAGCTTGCACAACTAACTACAGCCTGCGACCTTGTCCGTCGCATGTGTCAAAACCGTCCATCTGCAGTCGACGCAAATATAAGCTGCTAAACACGCATTTCAAGAAAACTCTCCAGAGCCAAACTGGGTTTCCTCGCTGCGCTGCTGGGGGGCTCACCATAACGTTATGCTGGCGCTTGGCAGGCCGGTCAGGATTGGCCTCAGCGCCTCAAAAGTCTCCGCGATTGTGTCAGCCAAATCCACCAACGATCTCGTATCGTCCCGACAAGGATCGCGGTCCCTCGGGCCAAAACTGCGGCTGTAATAGTTATAAATAGGGCGTGTCGCCGTGTCGGGCAGCCGAGATTGTTGAAGCTCTGGGAGGATGGGGTTTTTAAATTCTCCCCAAGACCTTTTTAACTAGTTAGTTAGTTAGTGAGCCAATTGCCTGCGACGATATTAGAATAGTTATGGCTACAAAACGGCGGCGACAAGCTGAAGAACTCGAGGTTCCCGATTCCTCTGAAAATGCGGCGGAGCGGAAAAGGGTGTTGAATGTTTTGGCACAACGTCGCTATCGTGAGTCTATGGGCCATTGGGTGCTTAAACTATCGTTATTGACGGTCGCGCAGGAACTCGGAAGCGCGAGCGTTTGGCAGCACTGGAAAAGGAGCTCGAAAAGAAGTCAAGTCGATCATCGTCTGAGAGGGCGGTAGACGGGTCTTCTTCAGCTTCTCCGGTCAACCTTTCACCGGCCTCCGCTCAATCTACGAGAGCGGGCGGGTGTGTTGATATCTTTCCGCCTACACCTCCCGAGGACAGTTGGCACACTCGAGACACACTGCTCGATACATTTCCCACTGCAGCCCTATCGGACTCGGACTCGAGCCTTCTTAGCCAGTCCACGTTTATGGACTCTTTTCCTGAGGCGCTGCTGGATCTAGAGCCACCAACTTCACCTCTGAATCTGGACCTGCTATCCGCCGTCTCACAGCCGCTTCCAGAGTCACCAGCGTTAACTTGGCAGTTTCTTTCGAACCCTGCCAACCTGGTCGACGGCTGCAATCCCGATCTTTCTTCCAGTCTGCAGTCGCACCAAACCTCCACGTTCACATTCCCCGACGACAGGATTATCGACGTACCCACGCTGACCCTGCTCAAGGCCGTGATGGTGATTGCCACACGACTTGACGTCCATCAGTGTCTCTGGGATCTCTCTGGTGTCAGCCCTTTCTTCACCGGTCCTCAGCTGAATCCGCATTCCATTTCGGGCCCCAATCTACCTTGCCTCGCTAATCTTCCGGCCCATTACCAGCCCACGGCCACCCAGCGACTCGTCCCCCACCATCCAGTTCTTGACCTTTTGCCGTGGCCGACGGTGCGGGATAAGCTGATCCAAGTCTTCAGCTTACCCCCGCATCTGCGACCAGCGCCGGCAGCAGATCCCATGGGCCTCGTAACGCTGATCTATGACATTGAGGACCCCACAGAGGGACTCAGAGTGTCTGGATCTGACCCGTTCATGGCGGATATGTGGGAAGTTGGACAAGTGGTCTTTGGGCGTTGGTGGTGGGCGTTTGAGGGGAAGATCGTGGAGACTAGCAACAGCTTGAGGAGGAGAAGAGGCCAACAGGGCCTTGTGCTAGGAACCGTCGAGTGATCTATCTGTCTCAGGATGAGGATTTCACAAGACCCAACAGTCGACGAACTAGCCAAAGGCATCAGCGATATGCCAGATAACGAGTCTCAAATGGGACAAGGGAAGAGCCTCGCATGGAGATGCTATTCAGGTGTGGCAGGGTTGTCTATATTTTCACCCGTATCCGTCACTCTGCTTCCATCCGCGGTGCCAGGGTTGATTGATTGATCACCAAGGAAACCAGCTTTATTCGTTGCCTCGAATCTTCTCATGCAATCCCAAGCATTTGGCTTGGGTCCGACTGGATTCCTTACTCCATCCATAACCTCCAGCACGGCTAGTTATTTAGCGGTCGCACAGTACGGAGTTGACTCTAAGCTGTTACAACGAGGTCTCGCACAATCCGGTGGAAGGGAGCTTGTCTGGTGTATCCTTTCCAGGTACTTCGATTTCTCTAACAGTTTTGGGAAGAGGTATTACTCGTAGCCGTATTTGCTTGCAGGCTTGCAATGGAGTGAAGGTGGTGTCGCTGCCGCACGCAATGGGTGCGAAACGACAGATATCCTCAGTGTTTACTAGCACATTTAGTCGTTTCAATGTCCTTGGGGGACCTGATCGACATCGGCGCCAAAGATCCACTTCATGTCAAAGATAACGAAGGAGAGATTGGGCAACATCTGGTTGAGTTGAATCAGCACGTTTAATGTTGAGAGGGTAGGAATTCGCAAGACTTGTCTGTTAGATTGGGAATGGAGCAAACAATGATGGAAATTTAAATTGCAAATGCTTGTTCTTCTTTGTCTGTGTTGAACCATTCAATAATCATCATCAATGAGGGTCTTGGGAGGACACATGCAGCCTGACGTAGTCAACTAGTGATCACCTCTTTTCGTCGGATCTATTCTTAGCCCAGGGAGTGGGCATCACAGTACACAAACACACAGCTGCGCACCCTTTCACCGGTCAAGCAATCAGCTGGGATATCGCCATAGATCAGCTGTTTTGTTGCTTGTTCCTGTGCCTGTAACGGTCACGAAAACCTGCTCGCCGGCGCTTGGCTGTCGGCGCTCACAAGGTTAGGGATCGTTTTGGTGAGGCGGAATCTTCTTTTTATTTCCGTGTTCCTCCCTTCCCCTCTCAAAAGGCAACTTGCGCCCGCTGAGACCTTCTTCCCACTTCACTTCACTCCCTCACTGTTCATTCCCTCAGCATTCTGCTTCAGCACACCGACCAACATCAAAGCAATCATCAATTTCAAGCACCTTTGAAGCTCGACAGCTATCCTCCTTCCTTCAGCTCTTGAATCTCGCTGCCTCGACAGCCTCGCGAAGACTACAGTTTGCGTCGTCAAAATGGTCATGTTTAACGTGAGTCCTACCTCTTGAAGACCCCCCGCTCTCGGCCTTCTTGATCCAATTCTTACGAGCTCTGGATGCAGGTTACCCTCAAGCCAAATGCCTCGCCAGAGGAGCTGGAAAAGTATGTTCCTGACTCATCTTCCCCATCACCTCTATGTCCCCTCTGAACTCCCATTTCGCTTTCCTTAGGGCAAAGGAGGAAGCAAAGAAGACCGGTGGAACCATTCGCCATGAATACAAGCTGATCAAGGGTTTCACGTAAGGCTCCCGTCTGCGTTTTCTTCTTTCTCCTTCACCTCGAGGCTAACCGATCGACCCTTTCTGATTTCTAGCGTCGAGTATCCTGACGACCACGTCCATGTCCTTCAAAGCACCAGCTCCGTCAACGTCGAGCAGGACGGACCGGCGCGAACGCAAAAATAAGTGCAACTAAATGAATTTTAGCTGGCTTTGCTTCGCTGCCTTCTCTCTTTTCATTATGAGCATTATTGAGCAATCGGTTCTACGAATTACGGATAAAACAGGAGCATAGGCATCGTTTCCAGAAAGCAAAGGAGTGAACGGTGTTCTGTACTTTTCTTCTTTTTTTTTCACCCCTTTGCGCGCAGATAGAATTACTCTTGTGGTTCTTCGCTTTACTTGCGTGTCCTATGGGTTCGGAATTGTCGCTTTTCGTCTACTTGTTTGCCCTGGCTCGGATACGATTTGAGAGCAGGGTTGCGCGACTTGTCCGTTCCCAGAAGATGCAAGTTAACGATGGTGACTTGGGACGTGCGCGGATTTCCGATTTCAAGATTGCGGGGTTCGTTGACTTCCGGATAGACCGATACCTTGAGTTGAAGTGCCCCTATTAGTTCACTGAACAAGCATATCCATTACTGCACACAATCAAGCTGCCTGCGCCCTATTGCATCTTCATGAGCAAACCAGTATTTCTCTGTGTCATAGTAATTTCTCCAATGAGCCTGGTACAGCTGTTGTTGTCTCCTGCACGTTTCCGTCTGATCTGGTGTGATGACGAGATGTCGTGCCCCACCTTGTTGTGACAGCCAATGAAATGTGAAAGCGACACACTCAAATTACGCTTAATCTGGTGATGTCATTGCTCAATGCTTGGCATTGATTATGTCATATTAGAGTCAATGAGTTAATTCCTGTTAATTTACAAGCCTTGGCTAACTTAACTAACTTAGTTGTTAGTTAACAGTTAATCTTAGTCATTGGTAATATTAGTAAGCATCACTCCCATTCTCAACAGCAGTATGGAGTATTATCCCATTGACCACTTCACAACGCCTAGATGGATGAATCACACATTGGTTAGGGAGGAATCCCAGTGCGGCCAAATGGGATGCATGAAGAATGCCGTGATGGTATTCTACCAAGCTTTGGTCTCTTCCAGTGACCCGGGGAGCTCGGGGAGCATGCCACCCATGCACGGAGATAAGACTGGCTTCAGCCTTCAAGACGCATTCTGGGCAGAAGAAAACTCAGGACCAGGCCTACAGGAATGCTTCAAAACTCGATGCCACTAGAATGCGGCCCTAAATAGGTGTATTCCTTGACATAATCAACATTACTGAGTACGCGTGTGTGTCAAAGCAACAGGAGAAGATGACTACGAATATTCTTGTGACCGGCGCCAATAAAGGTGAGGAGCGCATTTCCACTCCTGTAGTTTCTCGTCGATGACACCTCGAAATTCAAGGCATTGGCAAGGGCTTTGTGAGACACTTTCTCCAACGTCCCAACACAACCGTCATTGCAGGCGTGAGAGCACCCTCCTCAGCCGAAGCAATCACTCTCACCCATTTCGATGCCGCTCCAGGGAGCAAGGTCGTCCTGGTTCAGATAAACGCACAGTCCGAAACGGACGCCAGCGATGCCATGCGCGCCCTGGCCTCGCAATACGGCATCGACCGGCTTGACATCGTCATCGCCAACGCCGGAATCTTCGACGCACAGGCTCACCAAAAGGTTGTGGACATGAAGCTGTCCGATCTTCAGGAGCATATCGACGTCAATGCGTTCGGAGTCATCCGCCTCTTCCAGGCTACCTGGCCGCTGCTTGAGAAGTCTAGCAAGCCGATCTTTTTGCTTAATTCGGCGGGGGCGGCTACCATGGGCGGAATGAAGCCGTTTGCGCATTTCCCGCTTTCCTCGTATGCTGCGTCCAAGATGCTGGCTAATTTCTTTATCCTGCGGCTTCATGTTGAGCATCCGGGTCTGATCGCGTTTGCGGTTCATCCGGGGTCCGTGGTGACTGAGAATCGCACTGCGGCGGCTGCCAGGTTAGGGGTGCGGGTAGAGGGGCTTTCGGTAGATGAATCCGTAACGAGCCTGCTTGCTTTGGTATGTAGTCTTACTATACTTTGTAACATGTGGATGTTGGACGTGCCTTGATGCTAAATTCTTGACAGCTTGACAGTGCCACTCTGGAAACACACTCTGGAACGTTTCTGAATGTTGATGGGATGCCAATACCGTGGTGATGGGAATGTTCTTTTAAATCCTCATTTGTTGGTTTAGAAATTCAATGGATACAGGTAGCCTAAGTGAAATCAATTTTTAGCATATACTCTCAGTTTTCTACAAGCACCACGGCTGTGCGCGGGGGCGGAGCACATATCATAATGCATCATGTTTGGCAGCATATTTTAGCCCTCATAATTGGAGATAGCGCCCACTCCAGCTCCGCGGGGAGCTTCGGGGAAAGGGAGTGCTGCATAAAACTGCTTTCACGCAAAATAGCTTCCTATATATTCATCATGCATGCGCCGTAAGATTATAACTTATATAACGCAATGTCATTGAATTGTGTAGTTAACTAGAAGGCCTTTTTCCAATCAACTCGAGTCAAAAAACGTCAGCAAGAACCATGGTGACCCTTTCGGAACTGGCTCAGGACATTCAGTCCCATGTGGCCGTGATTGACAAGTACCTGAAGGAGCACAATCTCCCGCAGCCCACTTTCGATGCCGATAGCCCCAGAGAACTGCCCCTCGATGCCAACGTGCAACGGGCGCGGATGCTGCTCATCGAACAGGCATCGGCTCTGGCAAATCTGGCGACCGGCTCGGCCGACCACTTGCGATGGCACTGCATGAATGTAAGTCGAGGACGGAGGAAACCCCTTTCCCCCTCCCCCTATACTAACTCACCTTGCGCCCACTGGCTAGAGCAAATATGACGACACGGCCTTGCACTTTTTGGCAGCGTATAACGTCTTCGACGCAGTCCCGCGAGAAGGCTCCATCTCGTATGCCGAGCTTTCTACGAAGGTCGGCATGCCCGAACACCGTCTGCGCCGGATCCTAGCCCAGGCCTACACGCAGCACTACTTCTACCCGCCCAAGCCGGGCCACGTGGCGCACACGAGCAACTCCGCCATGGCAGTCGGCGACACGCTGGCGCGCGCGTGGATCCTGCATAATACCGAGGAAGTGCAGCCGTGGTATGCGAACAAGCTGGTGGACGCGACCCGCAAATGGCAAGATTCGTATAACCCCTTGCACACCGGGCCCAACGTCAACGCGAAGCCCGGGGAGGAAAAGTCGTTTTATCAGATAATGGATGGGGATGACGATGGAGAGTGGAACGGGGTAAAGGGCAAGGGGTTCCGTCTGCGGCGGTTGTACGACACGGATCAGTTCTTTGGCACTGGCGGCGCGATGAAGGGCACGAACATCATTCGGGCGTATGATTGGGCCAAGCTGGGAAGAGCAACTGTCGTCAATGTGAGTATCGAAAATGGCTGAAAAGAATAATTTCCCGCATCGGACATCACTAAGCTAAAGGGTTTCCAAGGTCGATGGCATCACGGGCTACCTTGCGTCGACGGTGGCATTGGCCTTCCCTGAGCTCACGTTTATCATCCAGCAGCGGAGTTCGCCGTGGTACGAGAAGCAGTTCTATGAGAGTCTCCCTGTCAAGCTCAAGGGGAGGGTGAGCTACATGGCGCACGATCAGTACAATGAGCAGCCAGTCAAGGGGGCGGACCTGTACTTTATGAGCACGGTGCTGCACAAGGAAAACGACGAGCGGGCCATCAAGATAATTCGGCGGTGCGTCGAGGCCATGGACCCCAAGAAGAGCCGTATCCTCACCCGCGACATCGTCATGGATGGCGGCGACCCTCCCCCTGAAGACTGGGCTGTCAAGGGAGGAGGGGCGTACGACGCGGGTCTGGGCCCAACAGGCGTCATTACCCGGCTCAACATCGGCGTGGATCTCCAGATGCTCTCGGTGCTCAATTCATATGAGCGCACGCGAGAGGAGTGGGTTGCGCTGTTCAAGAAGGCGGATCCGCGGTTTGCTCTCAAGCAGTGTATCCAGACGGTGGGTAACTGTGCCTCGTTGATGGAATGGGTTCTGGAGTAAGAAGTTCAGACACAGGGTAGATGGCGGTGCAGATGCTACGGTATCAACTACCGCGAGTTCATTCTCAGGCGCATTTTTATCTTGCTTTGCCCTTCTGTATTGGGATGGATGTTCTGCCAAAATTGTGATGATATTGAGCGAGATGATGTTCACTGGGACCTCTCCTAGGGTCCTAGCCCCTAAGCGCCCCTAATAGGAGCCCCTAAAACCGCCCTTAAGGTGATAGCTAGCTTAGTCAGCAAACACCACCGTTTGTCCCAACGTCCTCGCACTTGCAGCATCAACGTCGCTCCATCGTGGTCCAACCCAGAAGGATGGCATTCGGACTCTTTGCTTGCCCAAGCTTGTTGGCCGTCTGGCTAGAGAGCGCTTTGTCCCAGCTAGTGGCGTAGCTTACTGCCCGTGATGGGTATCTCAACAGCATCTCATCTTGCCTTGACATGCTCGGTCCTTAGCGAACTTGTCTCTGAATCGTTTCTCGTATTGTGGACTAGCTAAACCCCCCAAGCAGATAGTTTCCTGGTCTCAGACTGCACAAGGCTATTATGAAGAAGAAGCAGAATGCTAATAATGATGGATATCTCACTAACACTGACTTCCAGCAGCTCCAGCACCGACTTCGACACGATCAGCATGGCCTTCACTGGCCCGTTTAAAATCTACTCCATACTCCTTCCATGCCGATTCAATCCCGAGATCTAGCTTCCCATCCCTGGAAGGTATCAGCATTTCAGACCCGTCGTCCTCCATCGCATAGATGACGGTATGCGTTTTGCCCAGCGTCAACTTGATCGCCCCTTCGAGAAATACGTTAGGCGTGTATTTGCGCGTCGGTGTTTGGCCGTGGATCTTGGCTAAGATGTTGTCCAGCACCACCTGGGACTGCATCCAGCCTGCCCGGGCCATGCGGGGACCACCATGATCCGCTACATCGCCAAACGAAAAGATCGGGAGGTCTTGGTTCGGTGCGTTGGCATTAAGAACTTGGAGCGTCGGTCGGACCAGAATCCGGGAGGTCTCATTTGAAACGGTGCTCGGGTACAGACTTTTGAGAATGGATGAGTTTGGCCGTTGGCCGGTGCAGCCGATCTAGTATGCTAGGTCAGGGCACTGAACGTCCAAAAGGGAGACAGAGCAGTGGAGTCGGACGGGTTTTGCTTACAATGAGGTCAAATTGTTCTTCTCTCCCATCAGAGAAGGTCAACGAAGCCGATCGCGCGAAGTTGCCCGCAGAGGGCATATTCGGTCGCTCGTTCAGCAAAACTCGAATTTCCAGCTCGTCCCTCAGCACGGACAATGCGTAAGCCTGGAGTCGGCTGCCAAAGTGGCTCATAAGCTGGCCTCGCGAGTGGATCAGAGTGACTTCCTTGTCCGGATAAAAATCTTTGATGTCACTAGCTAGCTCGACTCCTACCGCTCCGCCCCCAACAACGGCAATCTTCTGACTCGCCTTGATAGTCTGCTGCACGCTCTGTAGCTCATGGCAGGCATCACTACGCTCCGTGGACGCTACCTGCACGGGTAGGGGCTGTGTGGATCCCGTCGCGATTGCGAGGTACTCGTAGTCGATCTTGTCGCCCGATGCCAGGAGCACTTGATGGTCTGTGAGTGCAACAGCTGTGTCCTGGATACGGCAGAAGATGCCTTCCGGCGCGCCTTTTGCAATCCCGTCGTATGGAATAAATGCTGTGTGCTCATGCCCTGTCAGAACGGAGAATCGTGGAAAGTTGAACGAGTAGTTGAGGTGCGAGTTCTTCTCGATCCACACAGCCTTGTATCCCGTCGGCAGCGTCTCCCCCAGTCGCTTCACCAGTTCAATACCTGCAAATGACCCGCCTAGCACCACGACATTCTTCGCGTCGGGCGTGTTGCGCCACGTCCAGCTGTGACAGTACGCAGCCACTCGCGAGATGGTAGCTTGACCCAGGTAGGGAATGAAGAAGCCGAGTGATTTAACAAGAAGTTTGACTTTGTCTGGCGCCATCGTAATGGTATTTAGACTTGGTTTCGACCGTGCCAGACAGGAGGCAGTATTAGGGGATAAGAGCGATGTCTGACTGTTTCGACCAATTCAATCAAACAGGCGGAATGTGCCAGTATCACATCACATGGGCTCCGTCGATGTTAGTCCCGTTGGCTGAGCTTGCTGGTAGAAAGTGGCCTTTGCACCCCTGGGATACAACCTTTTTCCTTGCAAAGCTGGTCCAGACCCTAGGCACCACCACGACCTCTTTTGTTTTCATCGAAAACTTCAGTGCAGAAAGGTTGTCTAGACTGGGCATGCAGTCCCTTTTCCTTTTGTTGCTTCTGATGCGTGCTCTCAAGGATCTGGTGCCGCTCTCCGCGGGCACCCATAGCTCCGTGGAAGTACTTCTTGGCGTGCAGCAAGGAGATGAGATACCAAAACTCCCCGTGAAACTCCGTGGGCTTGAGATCCATGACTCCAATTGCCGGGACATATAAGGAGCTGGCCTTGCCACGGCGTCCCGCGGAGCTCACTCGCTGGCGCTGCAATGTTTTCGGTCATGACGAAATCAGGAATCATATATTCCCTGCAGGTACTTCCCGATTTCGAATGTAAAGAAAGGAGATCCAAGCTTCTGCTCTAATTTAAGAGAAGCCACATCCACAGCCGATTATTGCGACCCAGCAGTACCTTCGCGACTAGGCAATTGCACCTTTCAAAATCTGGCAATCCAAGGGTCATATCGGCGTCTCGATCCAACATGACAAACGATGAAAAGTCCAAGGTCCCTGACAAAGCCTCACTGGCGAGGCTCACTACTGATATCGAGCGCGATTCCGGTGCGGACAGGTCGCCCGATGGGTCAGAGAAGCCAAAGGATCCGAACGTGGTCGACTTTGAAGGGCCTGACGATGTGGAAAATCCGATGAATTGGTCTAGGAGCAAAAGGCTTACGAGCATTACGATTGTGTCGTTGATGACGCTCCTTTCGTATGCCCAACTCCGTTTCCTTAGTATCACTTACGATAGGCTGACTTGGTTTTTATCTAGACCCATAGCATCGACTATTAGTTCGGCTGGTGCTTCAGAGATTTTGGCCCATTTCCATTCTACCAACTTGTCACTCGCCGCGTTCGTGACTACCGTGTTCCTGCTTGGCTATACGTTTGGCCCAATTGTTATCGCGCCGCTGTCGGAGATCTACGGGCGAGCCATCCTTTACAAGATCTGCATGGTCTTGTTCATTGTATTCAACGTGGCCTGCGCTGTGGCCAACAGCCTGGGATCGCTCATTGTGTTTCGACTACTCGCTGGCATTATGGGTTCGTGTCCCGTCACTCTCGGTACCGGCTCCATCGCGGATATGGTCCCGGCTGAGAAGCGAGCCGGTGCCATGGCGGCCTACGTGATTGGAGTTATCCTAGGCCCTTCAATTGGACCAATTTGCGGTGGCTATTTGACTCCTGCGGCTGGATGGCGCTGGAACTTTTGGCTGATGGCTATTGCCTCGGGTGTGATGACGGTGCCGGTCATGTTTATCCCTGAATCCTATCCATACGTGATTCTGAAGCGGAAGACAGAGCGGCTACGCAAGGAAACAGGCAACCAGGATTTACGATCGGCGTTGGATACGGGCAGAACACCGCGTCAGCTATTCGCGTTCACTATCTTGCGCCCACTTAAGATGCTCATTTCGCCGATTATCTTTTTGCTATCTCTCTATTCCGCCGTCGTTTACAGTTATCTGTATTTGTGTTTCACAACCTTTCCTGGCGTCTTCGGTACAAAATATGGCTTTGGGAGCGGTGCATCTGGTCTAGCGACGTTGGGACTTGGGATTGGCTCTGTTATCGGGCTCTTCTTTTGCGGCGGCACATCGGATAGACTCTCTAAACATCTGACACAAAAGTACGGTGGAGATACCAAACCTGAGTATCGACTTCCCGTCCTGATCCTTGGTGGCTTCTTCACGCCTATCGGACTGTTCTGGTACGGATGGACGGCTCAGCACGACACGCACTGGATTGTACCTATTATCGGCACTGGTTTTATTGGCGGGGGCATGATCGTTACATATGTGAGTGCCTTGTTGATATATTTAAACGCGCGGACGTTGTTAATATCTATTCCAGATGGGCAGCACCATGTACCTCGTCGACGCATACACGGTTTACGCCGCCTCGGTGACTGCTGCAAACACCATCTTCCGCTGTCTTTTTGGAGCCTTGCTTCCGCTTGCTGGCCCGGCGATGTACGATAGTCTCGGATACGGCTGGGGCAATTCGGTGCTGGGTTTTATTGCAGTTGCTTTTATTCCCCTGCCTTTTATTTTCTACCTCTACGGGCAGCGAATTCGCGAGTCTAATCTCTTCAAAATCGAGTATTGAGCAGTCTGAAGGCCCCCGGCTTGCTCCTATATCACGCATGCCACACACACAAAAATAGCTGCTTCGCACGGAAAGCCTCTTTCAGCTGGCTTCATATCTGTTGGCGGCGACCTGTGGATACAATCTTCATTGTGCTGGCGCGTTTGTTTTGCATTTGTAGAGATAGACTGTGGACGCAATCTTAATTGATTTCGAATGTTGGCTTTCCCGTGTAATAGCTAATAGTCAATGAGTCGTTTCCACAGACAGATCAACATGATCGGCTTGCTCCTTGTGATATTTCATTCACGCATCCCTGTATTTAGTTAGCTCTGCAGCCACCGCCGCGGATATTCCGCGGACTCCACGGAAGCGCTGCACCAGCAACGTCCAGACATCAACATACACTTCCATATATAATCCACGGAATACCCGGGCGGACGCTCTCATGGCCACCTCCATGGAACAGTAGCGTCTTCGCAAGGATGCCCGTGGCCGGCGAAACCCGCCAGAACCGCAAGGGCAACTTTGCATGCGACTTCTGCCGAGTGCGAAAGCTGCGGTGCGACCGACCGCTGCCATGCACCAACTGCATGTCTCGAGGCAAGACGTGCCGGTTCGGCCAGTCCGCCGGTCAGAACGGCCGTTCGGATCGCACCGCCGCCGTGGCGGATCGGAATGCGCTTCCTTCCCAGCAGCAGCAGCAGAGTCCGCTCGCGATCCCTGCTGCCGTCACGATCCCGCCCCTGGCATCTCCTGAGGCCACGTCGGTCCAGGCACATCTCCTTGAGGAGCTCCAGTCGCTCAAGAAGCTTGCGAGTGACCTGGAAAGGCGCGTGTTCCAGACCACAGGCCTCCAGGACGACTGCCATGGCGACAGCGTTGGGCTATCGCGCCCACCCGGGGCGAGCCAGCTGGACGCGGGCATCGCCAGGCCGTCGAGCCTTGATCAGGTGAAGGAGGTTGTGGCCCATCTTGAGCGTGTGTCGATGGTCCAGAGTGCTCGGGTACGTTTGAAATGTGCTCTGTCGTCTGCAGCTGGCGCTCGCTCACCCATTAAGAATATAGGAACCCATCGATGCTGATGGCCTTGTGTTTAAGATTGAGCGCATTCGGAATATCTCGCGGACCCCCAGCTACACGGTCCAGTCGGGAAAGACGGTGCGCTGCATATGGCTTCCGCGGCATGAGGAAGCGCGAGCCCTGCTTGATAAATTCATCACCGATGTCAGCTATATCCTGCAGGTCGTGCACCACCCGTCACTGTCGGCTATCATCGACGATATCTACCGCCAGGTCGAAAACGAGGGGACCGTCAAGCCGGGCCATCTTGTCCTACTTCTCAGCGTCATCGCTATCACGACAGAGGTATGGACTCAGAGCGACGACGTGAGAGGCGACGGCCCTTTGTTCCCGTCGTCAGCCCATGCCAATTCGCAAACATCCATGTGGATCAAGGAGACGATCGATGTTCTCAATGGCGGGCAAAACGGTCCGGCGCTGGCGCTGGAGACGATCCAGGGGATTATCATTCTGTCCTTCGTGCTCAGCAATCTGGAAGGTGTTTCCCTTCGATATCGATCGCTGATATCTACAGGTCTACTACTGAGTCGCGAACTGGGCCTCCATCGTATCGACCATGAATCAAACGCAGCCACTGCAAACACCACCCAGGCGGAGATTGGCCGTCGGGTATGGTGGTATTTGGTCGCTACTGACTGGTACGGTTTCGCTTCGCTCTCCTTTCCTGTTCTTCAATGCGAGTCTAGCAATCTAACGAGATCATTTCAGGATGTTGGCCGCCAGATACGGCGGCCCGGGCGAAGGCGTATATCAGGTTAACCCGCGGCATATGATCGTCAAAAAGCCACGCAATATCAACGATGTGGACCTTGTTGATAACGGTCCTCAGTTGGAGCTCCCCATCTCCCAGCCGACAGATATGTCATATTTTCTACAGCGCATTCGCCTGGCGGAAATCTCACGAAGCATAGTTGACCACAACCCAATGGCGGTGATCAGCTTCGGGGGATTGAGCTACTACGCGCATGTCATAGCCATGGACTTTGAGCTCAGTGAGATGATCAACAACATTCCTTCATTCTTCCACCTCGACAGGTATGAAGCCAACACGAGCTCAATGTCCAGCGGGATTTTCATCCAGGCCTATCTTCTCAACTCTGTCATTCACACCCAGCGCTGTAAGCTGCATCTCCGGTATCTCACCTCCGGCCCCAATAACAACCCAAACTACGCCTCTTCGCGAGCCACTTGCCTTACGTCCGCGCGCCAGCTGATCCGTGCAGAAGCCCAGCTCGAGCGCGCCCAGCATCCCTTCGTGCTCATACGACTACGTCTATCGGGAATGCTCTATGGCGTCTTCTTGGCTAGCATTGCGTTGCTGATGGACGCCTACATCAACGGGGCAGGGTCACTGCAGGACGAGATACGTCGTGGTGATGTAGCAGAAGCCCTGCGCATCGTTGAAGGCGCAAGGAGCCACTCGTGGGCGGCAGCAAATCTCCATGAATCACTCATGCAAGTTCTGGCGAAGTACCGTGCTCAGCAACCGCAACAGCGGCAGCAGTCACAGCAGCAGATGCAGCAACATATGCAAATGGAGCCAACGCCGCGTCCGATGACCGGCGTATCCACTGCTTCTTCTGCGCCAGCGATAGATGCCGCCACTGGACAATCTGCCCAGCTATCCGATCAGCCAGCGATATCATCCGCCTTGAGAGGATTGGATAGCGGAAATCCGATGCCCGATCAAATGTCCGCGGCCACAACTAGCCAGGCGCCGTATTACAACCAACTGGCTGAAAGCTTGGAAGAACTAATGTACACAGATGGATTCCAGTGGGATGATTTGTTTTCTGGCATTGATTCTGTTTCCTTTTTCTAGTCTTAAAATTCTCAAAAGCTTTGGCTTGTGCTGAGGATAGAGGTTCTATTTTCTGGGCGTTTTGGGGGCGTTTCTTCATTCAATTCAGGAGTTTATCTAGACTTTGAGTATTCTGTAGAGCTTTCATAATCAAGTTCTCTTTGTAATCTTGATCGAAATGGGTGCTTCAAATATAGTCATCTATGGATGTAACTAGTGGTTTCAATATTAAGCCGCATATTCAAAGCCTCTTATGTAGTTATAAATGTCAGAAAAGGGGGCTTTTTAGTGTACTCGATTAATGGTGCAATGAACGCGTGGAGTAACCACCTTATGAGATCTAGTTATACTGAATAAGTGAAAATGAAGCGGCCATGTGTTTGGCATTGAATTTGCTAATCTACATTGCTAACTTTTCTATCAGGCTGGTATCCTACAAAAGCTGAACGCTGAGAAATGAAAGAAGAGAAAAGGCCTCGGTTTGCCCCTGATAATTTTACGACAAAAACAATCCGAGGACAAACTTGCAAACAAAATCAAAACTCCTCTCCAAGATAGGCAAATCTAAGAGTCTTATCCTTTTCGACAATCGCCTCCAAGTACGTGCTGATTAGAGGGTCCATCCCTCCCTTCACCGCTTGGGCGATCCATGCCGTGATATCAAGTTCGTCAAAGTCGGAGCCGTACAGCGTCTCAATGCGGCTGCGTAATCCAGCAATAGGGGTTTTCACTCCGCTCGAGTGATGCACAATATTCACAGGAGGCTTTCCAACAAGCGCTGCATTGACAACGCGCTTTCCTGTGCCCCCGCTATGGTCTCTGTTCAGTGCCAACTGCGCAATGCTCACGGCAACGTCGGCAACGGGGGCAAAGTCCAAAAACCCGACGAGGTTTTTAAAGCGCGGAACTGCATTCAACGATACTATAAACCGTAATAGAGCGCTAAGAGCATCCTCGCTGGGCGCGTTGGGCCCGAAAACTGCGCATGGCCGATGTATGGTTACTGCAAGGCCTGTTGTTTGTGCAACCTTTTCGAGCATGCGTTCACCAGCCCACTTCGATGCTGTGTAGCCCTCAGCGCCATCCAGAGGAGGCTGATGTTGGTGCAAGGACACGGGTGGGAGGGTGTACTGGCCGGAGAGTAGTACCACGCGGTTGGATGAAATAAAGTGTATCGGAATGCGGCGCGGAAGGGCGAAGTCGACGAGGAAACGCAGTGAGCCCAAGTTTGGCGCACGTACTGATGAATAGTTATTTAGGCAATGCCCAACACTACCGGCGTGGATGATCAAGTCAATGCGTGACTGTAGAAAGGAAATGTCGTCTGAGGACAGCCCGAGCGACTCCGACTGCAGACTGCCAGGATAGCTTGCAATCTTGCTCGACCGAGGGAGGATATTGCTTGAAATCTTGGGAAGCGCAACGCAATGAACCCGCTTAACACTGCTATCTCCGGCTAGTGATTGAAGGATCTCGGCTCCGAGGAAGGTATGTGCGCCAGTTAATAGGATCTCACGGTTGCATTCTCGAAAGCAAGCAGATGGCGTACTGTGAAGATCCAAGGACGACGTCTGATACTCGGTTTCCTTCTCCCAATCAATCTTGTCGACCGGCTCCTGCTCCTTCACTCGATGGAGATGCGCTGCCATGCGGCCCAGAGTGCTCGCTTGATATAATTCTGTGATAGTGACACCTACTCCCAATGTCTCCGTAATGGCTCCTTGAAGCTTCATCAGCAAGAGGGAATTTCCGCCGATCATGAAAAAATCAGAATCCGGTGTTAGCTCAGCCCTGGATATAGCCATGGAGCTACCAAACACCTCCTCCCACAATAGACTAAGCTCCCCTTCTTCCAAAGACAGCTTCTGGCCCCCGTTTCTCAGTATTCTGGGCCGCTGCTGGAAGCTTCAATGTCTGCATTGCTTTGCGATCGACCTTACCATTCAGCGTACGGGGGAGATGACCAACAGGAACAATAAGTGAGGGCCGCATATAGGCCGGGAGAGGCAAGCTTTGTGCCAGCTTCTGTAATTCGGCCACAGTGAGCGTCTCGGCCTGTCCCAGATATGGGACAACGTGCGCGACAAGTATTTGCCCCTCGTCCTCTCCGCGAAGTGCGACGGCAGCCTCAGACACTATATCGGCTGCAGTTTGGACTATGGTGTTGGCCACATCATCTAAATCAACCCGCAAACCACGCATTTTGACCATGGAGTCGTTTTCCATTCGCCCCATGAAAATCAAGGACCCGTCCGTTTGCAGTCGGCCTCGATCACCCGTCTTGAACATGCGTGTCCATCCCCGGGCGACATCCTCTGCATCGGCGAACGGGTCGTGCGTGAACTTGGCTCCCGAGAGATTCGGCAGATTGAGGTAGCCCATCGCAACGCCCACACCCCCAATACAGATTTCGCCAGGATATCCTAGGGGTACCGGATCTGCGGAAGTTTCATCGAGAATATACACTGAGTAATTGGGAAGGACCCTTCCAACTGATGAATGATCCATGATCTCGCCGACCGTGCTGGAATATATTTCATCAAACGTTACAGCAAGCGATGTTTCCGTCGGACCGTAGCAGTTTCTGAGTTGAAGATTCGGGTTACCCAGTTCAAAGAACTCTCTAAGAAGTAGCTGGGTCACCTTTTCGCCGCCCATGCATGCATGCTTCCATTTTGTGCATTGACGCAGCCATGATTTCCCGTACCGCAGAAGCATGGCATACTCGGAAGGTGTTGCGATGGTGAAAGTCACATCGTGTTCAAGCATGAGTTTTGAGAGTGCAACGGGATCACCGCGAAGGGTCTTCGCCGCAATAACTAGCGTGCCACCGTTGGCTAGGGCGCAGAAGCTTTGGGTTAATGACATGTCAAAGCCGAAAGAGCTTTGCTGCAAAATTGTCTCGCGTTCTAGAGAGAGTTCAGACGCCTTCAGCGCGAGATGGTTCAGGAACCCGGATTGATTTAACTGGATACCCTTGGGTTTTCCAGTCGAGCCACTGGTGTAGAACAGAAAGGCCGGGCGGAATGGGTCGGACGAATGCTCTGGGGGGTTAGCTTCAGTCCCTAGCTTTTGTGTCGAAGCAGCGGAAATGTTGAGGATTGGGATATTTGTCCCCAGCGACAATGCGGATTCCAGAGTGTCCTGGTGGCATAACAGGATAGCGGGCTCACAATCAGCCAATATGGCAGCATGTCGCTCTTTGGGGAGATTTGTGTCAAGCGGCACATACACATGGTTCAGTCGCAGTATCGCAAGCATAGAGACGATCAGATCTGCCGAAGGCTCACAGAGGACGGCTATGCGTAATCCTTCGCGAGGAACTTCTTTCTGGATAATTGAAGCGGCGAGATGGATTCTGCTCCGGAGCTCGCCATAGGAAAGTTTTCCACGCGGTTCTATAACGGCCGTATCTTGGGTGTGTTTCGTAACCATGTCGTCAACTCTCCTCCAAAGAGTATCAGGCCAGTCCCACGTCTGACGCGGGCCCTTTCCAACCAAGAGCCCGTTTTCCACAGCACTTGGCTCAAAACTGCTATATTCATGCAGGGTCCGCAGGGGGTTTGAAGATAGCACGTCAAGTAAGTGAACATATGCGTTCTTAATGAGTTCGGCGGCGTCTCTGGTATATAGGTAGCTTTGAGCAACGACTTGCAGATTGCACGACCCTTCGACAGATTCATAAATGCCAAAGCCGATATCGAACGGGCTTTGGGCATCTCGAATGTCTTGGACTGATAAATGACAATCTTTTCCGAGGCTCGACTCGGCCATGGCGCCTACTCGATAGTTGAATGTAACCTGGAACAGTGGGTGGGAAGACACATCCCGCCCGACATTAAGACGATTTAAGATCACATCGATTGGGACGTGGCCATTGGCCTGGCCTTCAAGAACATGCCTGGACGTACGCTGAACCAGGTCCGCGAACGAGTCACGCTGGCCAACTTTGAAGCGGAGCGGGAGCATATTGAGGAAGAAGCCAACCACGTCGGTAAGCTCATCGTAGCTTCGACTGGCATCTGTAATGCCAATGCACAGGTCTTCGATATTGAGGTTCTTGGAAAAGAAAACTTGCATCGCGGCAAGATAGAAGTTGAATGGCGTCACCCGCAACGCCTTGCTGGCTTCTTTGATTCTAGCCACCAAATCACTACCAATATCTGTAGTCACCGTGTGGCTTTCATAACGTCGCAACGGCCGGCGACGGCGAACCGAGGCGATGGGAAGTAGCGGTAGAGCACCTGGTAAGTTTGCGTGCACCGTTTCCCAGAACGCGATAGCCTTGTCCATAGCCCCTGATTCTACCGCCTGTCGTTGATCAAGGGAGAAATCCATATAGAGCTTCCTCTGTCGACTTAGCGGTTGAGCCATGTATGCTCGCTCGAGATCGCGCAGAATGGTGTACCAGCTCACGCCGTCGATAACGATGTGGTGATAGCCAAAAATAACAATATGTTCATCTTTACGCCTTGTGGACAGCAACGTTGCACCGAATGTGTCTCCATATGCGATATTCCATTCGCGACTCCGCAATAGGTCAAATTCATATTCGATATCTTTCTCATGCGATGCATGGAGATATTTGAGGCCAGACGCAGGCAATGGTGTGCGTAAGAGCCCTTGTGTCGGCTCACCTGTTTCGTCGTCCGCATAAAAGCACGTTCTCAAGCTGGGATGGTGTGCGATAGCTGTATTTAGGGCCTCGCGGAACCTAGATACATCTAAAGGCCCATTGACGATGTATCGGACGGCGATATTGCAGGTTATTGGGTCATCTAGATATTGACCAAGAAACCAGAGCCTAGATTGAGCGTAAGACATTATCTCGACTCTAGAGGTAGATCTCTCCATACGTTTTTGGGCCTGGGTACCTAAAATGGGTTCCCCCTTTGACTGGGCAGACTCGGTGTCTGATACAGCCAATCTTTCATTATTGGGAGTTGGTAGTGTCGTAGTCGGTGGGCTTGGGAGGCCTGAGGTATTGTGGCCATCCAAAGAACTTGAGGTTAGAGTGTTCGAAGGTGGTTCGCTGCTCTCGCTGGTGGGCCTCGAGGGTTCTCGCAGGAATGAATCCTCCTTAGATGTAATGTTATCATTGTCAGGCTGAGATGATTTTGCTAAGACTCCCTCTGTTCTATGGGCCTGCTCGGATTTAAAAGCGAGGTATTGGGCCGCAGTCTCCTCACATATCTCGCTGGTCGTGTCTCCGCCGAGGAGGCGAAGGACCGGGACGTCGACATGGACCTCTTTCAAAAACCAGGTACGCAGCTCGACGGCAAGGAGGGAGTCGAAGCCCAAGTCTAGAAGTGGAACGTGAACGTTAATGCTCCCAGCATCTAATTGCATCATGGCCCCAAGCTTGGATAAAAGGGCCTCCTGCAACAAAGAATTGGTCTCCTGTACAGACGTGGCCCCGTCCAGTCTCTGTCTCAAATACAGCATATCACCAGTTCCTTGTTTCGAATCAGCTAGATCTTGTTCCGGCTGCACAACGAAGTGCGATAGTCGTGCGTCGCCGTACCAAGGAGGTCTTAATGGCACGTCTGCGCTGTCCATGAATGGCTCAAGGCCCATACAAATGTCGGCATGGAGTTCGGAGTCAGCCGGGCTTGCAATCACACCTTCTGCAAACAAGAAATGTGCGTCAGTTTCCGATACTGGCATGAAACCCTGTTTTCGCAAATCTTCAGCGAGTTTCCGGCCCTGTCTTGCCACATATCCAGCATCAATCACCACGCCAACATGGATAACCGACCCTGCTAATCCCCTTGCCCTGCGGTTTGCTACCAAGCTGGCCATGAACAGGTTAGCGGCATGGTAGTTGCCTTGCGAACGGTTATTCCCGACAGCCGCGACAGACGAAAAGCAGACGAAGTAATCCAGATTCTGATGAGGGAAGAGCTCATCCAGATATTTGGAGCCATCCACTTTCGGTTTAAGTGTATTGTTCAGCGAATCGATATCCATATTCAGAACGTCTCTGTCCTGTAATACCAAGGCTCCATTGGCCACCCCTCCAATACGGGGCATCTCTTTTTCGATCTGGTCCAAAGTGGAAATGATGGATTGCCGATTGGTGACATCCATCTTGTAAAGACGAATGTCCGCGTCGTACTCTCGTCGGATCGTCTCGAGCCAGCCTGGGTTCACCTCGCCGCGTCGGCTAGAAATGGCAATGTGGCGGGCTCCATTGCGAACCATGAAACCGCAAATCGACTGACCAAGCTCCCCGTTCAAGCCCACCATTAGATGGGTTTTGGATGATGAGAAGATCCCGACGGGATCTAAAGGCTTAACCTGGACCGACAATGTCTCGCGGGGCTGTTGTCGCCAGTCAACTACTGAAGGGTATATGATCGTAGATGAACGGCATTCAGAAAGGGTCCGAATCGGAAGTGTCTTTGTCTCAGATTCGCGCATATTGGCAAGCGTAACAAGAGCATCATTGTATGCGCTAGCTAGATCATCTTTGTCGGCCCCAAAGAAAGCAGATTCAGAGCGCCTAATAACAGCGGTTGCAGGAGCAAAATCCGCAACATCACGGCAGCCTGGCGTGGAAAGGTCAACAACGGCCGTAACGCTGTTTGGGATCAATTGTTTGATTGAGGAAGCAAGGGCATGAGGATCTATGAAGATCCACGATGCGGGAATAGGTATGTCTGTGCGTGAGGTAGCAACGTGAACTCGACGGCCCTTCCACCAGCTGCTGGACTCGATGGCTCTGACGAGACTTTCAGACGGTGGCTCATACACCAACACATCCCCCCTTCGAGGAATGCTCGATGCGAGATTGCGAGCAAGGAGTTGTCCGGCAACGGCTTCAACAATCTCTACTTCTCGTGGAGGTATAGAATCTAGGAGCAACGTATTTTGAGAACGGACCAAAAGAACTGATCGATTGTGTTGGGATATAGCGAAGGCTTTCTTGGATTTGGACTTGATAGAACCATAGGAGAGGAAGTACTTCTGAGTCGAGTTGGAAAAAGCTACTGACAGGTCCACGTTGAGAATCTCCTCCGCTTCAATGCGCGGTCGTGCCAGGCGGCGTGCGAGATTCGAGTCCACTCCCAGTAAGGAGACCAAACCCCCTTCGGTGTTGACTTCCACTTCTGATTCTTGAAGGGTAACAACCTTGTTGAAGCTGCGTCGCGAAGCATTGTACCTTTCATTGCGCGAATTATCAGGGAGGAGGCGCGAAATCAACAGCTTCTCACCATCAAACGCAAGTTCAGCCTCGGTTGTCCATACCATTGTTTTGTCTCTATAAGTACTTTGCTTTACTAGAGCCAGGCGGAGGAAGTACTCAGCTAATAGGTCGGGAGCTGCGTCTGCTAGCCGTGTGAAATCCAAGAGCTGGACGTTGATATCCGGTCTTTCAGTACGTAACGCCCGGGCGAGGCCAACAAACATGTTAGAGGTTGGATTAGAGCACCTAGCCCCTGCTGTGGCCCAGAGGATGGAATCAGATGACCTTAGGAGTGTCTGGAGCCTTTCAAGTCTTCCGGCTGTCAATTCATCCGTAAACAGTGGTTTGTCCAACTCTGTCAGACTGATGACCGACATGCGCTCGTTCGCCTCAACAGAGAGCATGTCAAGGCTAGCGACTATCTTTACGGTGGTGTTCCAAAGTGTGAAAGTCTTCTTCAGGTTCCTGGCTAATTGAGCGACGGGAAGCGACTCGCCACCCAATATTAGCAGGTCGTGAGGAAGCGGCGGCACGAGACTCAGATCTGACAAAGGATTGCGTAGCACATCAAACTCCTTGTCGACAGCCTGGCTGATTATCGTTGAAACATAGTGTTTGTGCGGCACTGCGTCGTCTGAGACCACCTGGTTGACGCCCGAGAAGCCGGTTCGTTGCAAGAGATCATCCCACTGAACAAGCGATATGCCGGGAGACCATTGCCGACCCTCGTCGCCGATTTGAGGACCGAGCCACCAGCCTGGGAGCGGGCCCATGATGAAGCCCAAACGCATGAGATCACCAGTTATTTCCATCATCACCAAATAACCGCCCGGTTTCAGGAGACGACGAACGTTCCGCATAGTGTCGGCGAGAGAGCGTGTAGCATGCAAAACATTTGCAGCGACGATTATATCATAACCCTCTTCAACGAACCCTTGTTCGATAGGGTCTTTCTCAATATCACAAACCTTGAAGGTCATCTTGCGGCGGTGCGCGGCGAACTTCTCGGCACCCTTTTCGAAAAAGCCCGACGAGATATCAGTGAATGTGTAATGGCCAAAGGCGTTCCCAATAGCGGGCAGGACCTTCCGGGTCGTTCCTCCGACCCCAGCACCGATCTCGAGGATGTTGGCTTTGGGATAACGATGCACGATCTGGCCGACTGCCCGCGCAATATAATCATTCATAGGGGGTAGCCCGTGGGCTTCGGCATAGAATCGGCTCAGCATGTTGTTTTCCATCATCACCTCCAGCGGCTGCGTCTCGCCACGGGCAATAGATGGTAAGACCTCACCTAAAGCGCGCATGATGACAATATCGATACTATTTTGACAGTCTTCGGCTTGCTTCCACACAATTTCGCGTGTGTCATTCATCCATTCTTTCTTGACAGTTGGGTGGCGCCCAGCGCTAACTTCCTCAACCCAATGCTGGGCAGATTGCCAGAACATTTGCTGATGCCAGGCAAGAGTTTTCATCTCACGAGGCGATATCTCGTCCAGCAGCTGTCGATAGTAGTAGAGCGCGGTGCGGCCCATGGCCTCCACCAGCTCTGCGTCTGCAATCAAGTCGGGCTCTTTCTCCAGAATAACATTGTCCATCCCAGACGAGATGTCAGTGTCCCATCGCACATTAGAGAAGAGTAATCGATCACCGTTAGCCATAGCGTCCCCCGTCGCCTGCAGCTCAATGCCTTCAACTTGCACACCCACGCAAGAGTCAAACACTATTTGGAGATCTCCCTCCATTCCCTTTGCCGAGGAGTTCGTCACCCAAGCAGAGGTCTTTGTTCTGATAGTGGGTGCATTGCACCGTAAACTGGCCAGGTCGATAGTAAGTCGTCGGATGCGTACTGGCAGGTACATCGCCCACATCTGGCCAGTTGATGGAGCCGCGAAAGCTGCAAGTAAAGCGTGAAATCCTACATCTAAAATAGCGGGATGAAGGGAATATGACTCGCCAAGCTCCGTGGCATCCCACGACGCCAGGGAGGAAGCATAGCCCACTGTCCGGTGAGCAGACTTGGTTGCACGGAACGAGCCCCGATAGTCAATACCCAGCCCTTTAAGATTCGTGTAGAACAGATCAAGATCCAGCTGGTTCAGGTTGGGTGGCAGTTGGTCACGTATAGCTAACAGCGATTGTTTCGGATCAACTTGGCCAAGTTGGATCTTGACAAGCCCGCTGCACGTCTTCTCAATCGTAGCACTAGCATCGTCTGCCGGTGCTGTGGAGAAAGCAAACTCAGCTAGAAGAAAGCTTTCGGTCTTGTTGACAAGGCGAAGTGAAGTTATGAGCTCAGTTGATTTGTTCTCTTGCAGGACAATCGCTCTGGGTATTTTCAGGTCAAGCAATTCCACAAGCTTGATGGGCTGTTCTCCAACCAGAGTTTTGCTGGCCTCGATAACAGCTGCGACATAGGAAGCACCAGGAAGAACGGTCTGGCCTTGGACGACATGGTCCCTAACCCAGGGAAACTCTGCTGGGCGGAGAATGTTACGCCAACGCAGAAGCTCCGGTGTGTCATCTATCGCTCTGCGACCGAGCAGCTCGTGGACAGGTCTGTCGCCCAGACGGAAGGTGCTTGATATGCGAGATTCCTTCCAGTAAACCCTGTTGTGATCCCAGCGATATGATGGCAAGTCCTTGAGAAGTCGTGGTGTCCGTTTCTGGCTTCTCGGGTCAGCAAAAGCATTGCGATACCCGTTAAAGTCAATTAAGCCTGCAGGGCCAAAATGCTGCCAGAGGTAACCAAGACCGCCTGAGAAAGCCTCAACCTCGTCATCCCCACGCCGCATAACGCTAAAATACGGAAGAGAGGAGCCTAGTAGGGCCTTGAAAATCTGCGTGCTTGGCCCCTTGAGTGCAGGATGAGGTCCAACCTCGGTCACGATATCAAAGGGACCGGCCCTCCAAAGAGCACATTCCACTGCTGGTTCAAACAGGACAGGGTTCAGGAGATTGTCAACCCAATATTGGTCCTTTAACACATCTAAAGTTGTTTCGTCGTCGGCGTAATCAAGGACAAGCTCTGCATCGCCACGCACGCTAGACACCCATATACAATCTTCATTAGGGGGATGAACCTGAATGCTGCAGGCCTCCAAAGATGCCAGATACGCAGCTGCAGCGGCATTCATATGATGCGAGTGATAAGCAGTGTCAACATTGAGCTTCCTAGCAAAGATCTTCTCCGTGTCGAAGTAAACCTTCAGGGCTTCGATCGCATCAATATCGCCAGACAGTGTTACGCTATTCGGAGAATTGGCAGCTGCAACGTTCACGCGGCCAGCAAATTCTGGCTTTTCGCAAAGATCGCTAGCGCTCTCAAATGATAGAGCGACGGCCATCATGGCGCCACGCTTCCCATTGGGGCCTTGAGCTAGCCCTGCGTGGAAGCCACGATAGTATGCAATTCGTATCGCGTCGTGAGCCGAGATGATACCGGCTGCATATACGGCGGCTATTTCACCTGATGAATGGCCAACAACGCTCCGTAAAGCAACGTTACTGGCGCGCAAGAGGTCAACAAGTCCAATTTGGACGGCAGTGCAAAGCGGTTGTGATATTTCAGCCTCAGCAACACGAGACCTGTCCCCTTCGGCCAGAAGCTCCTTTTCTAGTGACCACGACGGAGCATCGTCTCCAAGGGCTGCAAGTGAGGCCTGGAGTTGGGTAATGGATTTTCGGAAAAGTGGGCTTTGCAAAATAAGATTACGTCCCATTGTCGGCCACTGTGCGCCCTGGCCGGTAAAAATGCCCAGAATCCCGATACTGCCATCGTTTAAAGGGCCTAGAGGGTGACTGTCCCCAGGTGCTGCGGATGCTGCTGAGTTTTCCTCCACAAAGGCGTCCATGTATGCCACAAGTTTCTGACGTGTCGCTCCTGAAAAGAAAGCACGATTGTTGCTGAAATGCGTGCGCCGGAACTGCAGCGTCCAGGTCATGGAGTCGAGATCGAGGTCATCGTTGCTGCGAATGCAATCGGCATGGGCTTTAACAGCCTGCACGAGCGAGTCTTTTGAATGGGCAGATAATATCAACGGTCCCACAAACCGTTCATCATCACTATGACTCCCATTTCGCTCATCTATGGAAGGTTCTTTTTGAAATGTTTCGAGGACGACATGGGCGTTGGTCCCACCAAAGCCGAAGCTGTTGACACTAGCACGAAGAGGCGAGCCCGCTGGGACTCTGGGCCAGTCTGATGCCTTTGTAGGAATATGGAGACGGTCGTAGAATGGAACAATGGCCGGGTTCAATGTAGAAAAATGCAAATTAGGTGGGATTGTTCGGTTTCGCATGGCAAGGGAGACTTTCAGCACTCCGGCTAGCCCAGCACAGCCCTCAAGGTGGCCCACAACAGTCTTAATCGAGCCTACGAGCAGCTTGTCGTCGGGGGCAATACCCTTTAGTTCGTCTGGGAAGAAAGCATCTCGGATTGCCCTTGCTTCAACCGGATCTCCTGCGCGAGTACCGGTCCCGTGGGCTTCAAAGAATTGACACCGGTCGACAAGAGGATCCAGACCAGCATCTTGATAAGCTTGTCTGATCAATTTGGTCTGTGCCGTCGCGCTCGGGACCGTGATACCCGCTGTTCGGCCATCCGAGTTTACTGCGCTACCACGGACGACACACTCAATATCATCTCCATCCCGAACCGCTATATCGAGTGGCTTTAAGACAATGGCCGCAAACCCTTCTCCACGCGCATAACCATTTGCTGAGGCATCCCACATGCGGGACCGGGAGTCAGGGGAAAGCATGTGGAGTTTCGACTCAGCCACATACATCGTCGGGTCGAGGATGAGGTTGGCACCAGAAACTATGGCCATGTCACTCTCACCCAGTCGTAGGCTCATCATAGCTTGGTGGAGGGCCACGAGGGAGCTGGAACAGGCCGTGTCAATTGTCATGGACGCACCCTTGATGTCAAGGAAGTATGAGATGCGGTTTGAGAGGATGCTTCGATGGGTGCCAGTGCCATGGTGAGTTTGTATTGTTTCAAGGTCGCGTGCTTGGATATCAGCAAAATCGCCATTCATCAGTCCGGCATAAACGGATGTTAGGGACTCTCGCATTTGTTCAAGGGGGCAGCCAGCCGACTCCAGGGCTTCGTACACGGTTTCAAGGAGAATGCGTTGCTGAGGGTCCATGCCATCTGCCTCTGCGGGATTGATACGGAAAAATGAGGCATCAAACTGACGAATATCCTCTGAAAGCAGGTAGCCCTTGTTTTGCACGTCCGTGCTACCATGATGCTCCCCATTTTTATGATAGAAGTTCTTGAGCTTTAGCCTTTCGGGGGGAAACTCGCTAAGCACGTCTTTAGGGTTTCTTAACAGCTCCCACAGCTTGGACGGTGAGTCCGCACCGCCAGGAAATCTGCATGCTGATCCAATAATGGCAATCGGTTTCGACATCTTGGTTCGAGAGGTAACAATAAGAGAAGGTTCAGTATCAAAGATGTTACTGAGAATGAGAGATTCTCGACAGATTTTCAAAGGCTGAAACCAAAGGATAGCACAATTCCATGAATAGTTGTAGGTTGGTTTTGAACCTACACATTTTGCACTTCATATCAGTCACAGATAGGCTATCTCAGTATCATTGTCCCTCTTGATGAGTTGCGGAGCTGATTACGGAGATTGCAGGAGATGTAGGATACTCGGGGAGACATCATCTTGAATCCAGCTCCAACCTTTTCCGTTTGCTCGGAGATTGGTTGAAGCTTTCCAAGGTGAGGGCGACATGTCCGAGGTTCAAACATCGGGGAACTGGCCATGGTTGATGTTATCCTCCCCTACGATATTCCTGCATACTAACTCCCCGGGTTACGGGTGGTTCTCAGCTCATCTCTTTATGTTGGATGTGGAATGTTGGTGTGTGGAGATATAGTATAAGCCTCCGGGTCACGGCTCTTCCTTGCGGGTGCAGTAAAGACGTGCGTGAGCGAATTAACACAGGATCATTGCTTTGTTAGCCCTCAGATACTATTGACATACTTTTATATGAGGTTGAATATCCTTAACATTTCCTCCTCCGCAAACAAACGCTTATCCTTATTCCCCTCAACGCGCACGCAGGCCGCACCGATGGAATTTCCAACCTGTCCGAGGAGTCATGATATCGTCTCATTACCGAGAACTCAGCGCGCGCTCAAAGTCCTTGGGCCATGGAAGATAGAGTTGGCTGAATCGTGTCCGCTACCACAGCTTGCGGAGGACGAGATCCTAGTCCAAGTGCGGTGCGTGGCAGTTAATCCTGTGGACGTGAAAACACTTGACTTGGCTCCGAACGTGGGAACCACGGCGGGATGCGAGTTCGCAGGAGACATCGTTCACGTCGGCCCATCTGTCAAGAATATGCGGCTGAAAAAGGGAGTGGCTGTGTTCGGCGTCATCCAGGGAAACCACTTCGATCGGCCCGACAACGGAGCATGGGCTGACTTTGTAGCAGTAGCCAGCGACCTGGTCTATCTGCTTCCGCCGCACTTCTCATATCAAGAGGGTGCCAGCATGGGCGCGGCCCTTCCAACTGTGGGAATGGCCCTGTACTATTCATGGGGCCTCCCGCTTCCTTACCGGCAGCGCCAGGGGTTCGACGCAGAGATCAAGGATCGTGAGATTTATGAAAAGGGCGGAATTACTGCCGCTGCAGGGATGGACGTGGGACTTGCAGCGCAAACTGGCCAAAAACCGTCTGGGAGCCGCCCATACGTGCTGGTGTATGGCGGGAGTACGACATGCGGCGCAATGGCGCTCCAGGTATTGCGGCTATCGGGACTGGCGCCCATCTGCACATGCTCTCCAAAGAACTTTGGCCTGGTGAAGCGGCTTGGGGCAGAGGCGGCCTTCGACTATCGCTCGCCGTCCTGCGGTGATGACATCCGCCGGTACACGGAAGACTCGCTTGGCTACGTACTCGACTGCATCACTGATCTCAGCTCGATGAAAATCTGCTACGCTGCAATGGGTCGCAGAGGCGGAAAGTACATGGGACTGAACCCTGTTCCCCTGCGAGGTCACACGCGCCGTGATATCCAACCGGACTACATCCTGGTGTACACGATGTTTGGCCAGGCGGTGACAGCGCCAAAGCCGTTTGGGCGGCCGATTCGGCCAAAAGACCGCGCGTTCGGGGAGAGATGGTATCAAGGCAGCCAGCAGCTGGTCGACGTGCCGGGCACGATCGTTGCACACCCTCGCGATGAAGGGCCAGAGGGCCTGAAGGGCGTGGTGGATGGGCTGGAGAGGATGAGGAGCGGTGGTGTCAGCGCCGTGAAGCTTGTTTATCAGCTGTGAGCACCAGCGCGCACTGCTGATTGGCTGGCACAGCGCCGGTATTATGTAATTATAAGCTAGCCAGATCTAGTTAGCGTTTGAGCCCAATTTTACTTGGCGTGTTTGCCCTGTTTGGTTACTATTCCAAATCCGGTTAGCCTTGTAACTGCTTAGCTAATCCATGCAGGCGGCTGATGTCAGCTCACCTTCAAGACTTCCCGTCAACCTCCGCAAACGCGGTATTTATTAATATCTCGCTGCTCGCGATCAGGATCAGCGCTGCTCGTGTCCCCACGTCCAACAGTCATGCTGGGCCTATCATTGGAGGCTGATCGTGTCTGCAGCGCGTTGCGAGCAGGCACCAACCCGCAGACTCCTTCAAGCTCTCCAGCAAATCAGCGGCGGCCAATTGTGTTGGAGGGTCGGCTTTAATGATGCTGCATGGCAAGACTCCAAAACCGCTTCTCTGCATACTCCTATATAAACGGAGGTAGGGCTGTCCGTGTTTGTGCAAAGCTGGAATTCGGCACGACAACTATACTCTGGATAAGCTTTCACTTCCTCCCCGCCTGAGTGTCCCGTCATGCACGACATCGCTCTCTTCCTCTAGCCCCCAATCCCGCAGGCAGCCCAAACCGTCAACGTCTGTGCAGGAGAGAGATGCGTGCTCAGGGAGGTCAGGGTGGCCAATCTCGCAAGCGTCGAAGACAGGCCGTGGTATGCACTGAGTGCCGTCGACGGAAGATTGCCTGTAACCGCAGCATTCCATGTGCCCAATGCATCCAGTCCAATTCCATCTGCACCTATTACAACTCCTACTACTCCTATGCTGGCAAAGGTAATGCCGCAGTCGCCCAGGATGGCGGTTCCAAAGACCATCCCCTACCGCCGTCGATCACTCCTCAACCCATATATCCATTAGGATCGGGCCTGCAGCTCCCCCCATTGCCGTACAGCTATCAGAACGACCTCCATGGAGCAGCGGAGATTGGCTCCTTGCCAGCAACCACCGTGTCCGCGGGCGCAGGAGTGCAAAGCTCATGCACTATAAGCAATCCCGCGCCGCTCTCACTGCCATACGACCTCGACACCACGACTGATATGGTGCTCCCGGATGTATCAGCGGAAGAGATTCTAAGCTTGAACGCTGTCGTAGGTCTCACGGACCGAGTTGCAACAAATGCCATGCAACTAGCCGCCGTCTGCTCGCAGGAACCAAGCCGGATAGTATTCCAAAAGTCTCGACTCTATCCTCAGAGTCACTGGATGACTTTTTTCCAAGGGGTAATTCACCGATAGCAGCTCCTTTTTTCCCAGTGTTCAACAATGAGCGGTTGGGCTAATCTTGCCATTCGACGAGATATAGTACGAACCGCACAATCTCTTCGAAAGTATTAACAATACTGTGTTCCGCGGTGAAGGCCATCCCGGCCTGCAAAAATGCAAACAGCTGGCAAAGGCGCTCAAGGCAAAAAGCGGTCCCGATCCGCAGTTGCTCTTGCGCCCGCTACGTGAATTTATCCCACCAAAGGAAATCTCGGATCGGCTAGTGAAGCTATATCTACGAACCTTTGAGTCGGTACTCCGAATTTTGCACATCCCAACCTTTGAGCGTGAATACGCGCAGTATTGGGAGGCGCCTCGAGCAGCGGACGAATCCATAGTGCTCCAGATTCTACTTGTTATAGCTATTGGGACGTGTTTCTGCCAGGATGCTCTGTCGTCAGACGATGTTGATGGGCTCCCAACATTGCATGACCAGGCGACCCAATGGATCCATGCTGCTCACCTCAAACTTACAGCTCCCTATCGGAAGAAGCACCTTAACCTACGGGGCGTTCAAACACAATGCTTACTTGTGCTTGCCCTATTAACAAATACGAACGCTATTGGCGGGGACCTCGCATGGGTGACGACTTCATCCCTGATCCAGTGCGGTTTGGCCATTGGTCTTCATATCGCCCCGAGCCGCATTTCCACTACCCCGTTGGAAGCCGAAGTGCGGCGGAGACTATGGTCAACAATGCTTGAACTCGCAGTACAGGCTGCTCTCGACTCTGGATTGCCGCCCGTCATCTCGGCCGAAACCCTTGATTCATACGAGCAACCGTCAAATCTCGATGATTCCCAAATAGGGGAGCCAACGAAAAGCCCGCCGACTCCGCAGCCAATGGAGACATTCACACAGAGCTCAATGCAATGCGCGCTGTTGAGGTCATTACCGATCCGTCTGAGAATCGCCGAACATTGGGCCGATACCGCTCCGACCTCTCCTACGACGCAGCTCGGAGCATGGGGGCAGAGCTCACAGCCGCCCTACGCAAGACCTCCGAGCTAATCGATTCGTC